GCACAGCTGCGGCTCATCTGCTCAATCAGCAGACTGCCTAAAGACCACTGCTTCACGGGACTCTGGTGCCAGATGATTGTGATACGCCACTACTGATACAGTCATGCCGTTTAGCAGTTGCTCCAAGCTTTGAGTTCCCCGCTAAGCTAATTTCGAGTTTCAAGTAATCCTGTATTCTCTCCATGTTTTCTCCAGCATCCCCTCCGCCAGCTCCAGCGTCCAGCCGTCCGTCCTTCACGCCAGCTTCCACCGCCACGAAGTCACGAGTCAGGATCTCATCGTCATGGGCCCCTGCACCAGGGAAACCTCCACATGAGCACCTCACCTGAGCTCCGCCACTGGGAAACCTCCACACGGACTCCTTCTCCTGAGCACAGCCACAGAAAACCCTCCGCACAGACTCCTGCACGGGGAACTCACCACACGACCCACCGGCACCGAAGACCCCCCCTCCGCACCACCACAAGAACCTGTGCACCAACACCGGAATCTCCACCGGTCTCCTGGTGCCCATCACCTCCCTACCCTCCTTAAACAAAACCTGTCTTTCCTTATCCATTCCCCGTCTCCTTTTCGTTTGGGTCCACAAATACACTCGGTGGTCATGAGCCGTCACACTTTCGGGTATACAGCTGAAGGATTGTCCAAACAAGTTCAACACAAAGTGATCAAGTGGCTCAACTTTCAAGGTCTCACAATGGCTGTACAAGAAATGGCTGACAGCATCATAGCTGCTTGCACGCAGTTAGTAACTGAAAAGATCCAGAGAAAAAACAATTACCATGATACTTGCATCAAGGAGATCCTACTCATCATTTGCTGGCTTGCAGACATACAAAGAACTCTGTGGAAGTAAGATGTGCAAGTATAATGACTACAGTGACGGAATAGCTCCATGTTTCCTGGTTCCATGGTTGCAATTTTTAATTAACTGACCTGGCATTTAACCCTTAAGTTTAACGTAAAGCTGATATGGAGACTTCATCCTTGTAAGTCATGGCTTCATCACTGACTTTCTGCTTAAATGTGAGGACTGTTTTATTATTCAGTTTTCTGGAAATTATAGAAGCTTTTCCAGTAAACCATGCGATCATAAAACCAAAAGTGAAAGCATCTTTACCAACATAATAAAAAGGGATGGTCTGCCCTGAGATACCTCAGTTACAGACCTGGTGGGACACAATGCTTCATCTACAGTGACAGAGAGCTAAGTATAACATGGACAGACGTCTTCTATTAAGGTGGGTCACTTTTCCTGTTGTTTAATCAGTGATTTTTAATTAAAACATAAAAACCAGGCATGTACATGAGCGCAGATAATGTTATCAACGATCGCTCTGCAAGCACACATGCAGAACTGCAGTCTAATTTTTTGACTGTGGAGGTGGGACAGTGGCAGGTATTAGTTGTTTTAATGTTTCTGCTGGTACTTTTACACCAGTATGATTTCTCATAACCTCTAAGGAAGGAGACAGGTGGAGAGTTGAAACTGATCAATCAAAGGGAGAAAGAGAGAGAAAATGAAATTCTGATCTACCTTTTTTAGTTTTATTCCATAATTAACGTTGCTAATTACAGCCAGCGTTGTTGGTATGGGAGTGACCACCGTTCAGAAGAGTCCAGGGGCCTCATTTCTTATCAGTGCGTAGAAAAGTTTCTAAATTCTGTCTTTTGAATAAAATTTAGGGTGTGCCTAAGTACAAAAAAGTCTGTATTTATCAAACATGCGTACGTGGGTCGTGAGCACATCAGTAAGTCATCAGCGTTAGTAAATCCCCATAATTCTTAACAACCATGCTCGTGCACTTTGCCTTGAGAAACGCCTCCAATTAACCATATACAGCATTGTTGTCTCTTTATAATACAAGTGAATATTTTTCCCACCTCACCTTTCATCATCATGGCAGAGAGGGCGACAAAGAGGAACTTTTCCGAAACCGAATTTGAAGTAACGAGTTTGAAGCTAATGTAACCCTGAAAAGTTGTGCGGCTCACTCGTCTCCAGGTGTGGGTCAGTCGGGTTACAATTGCTTTATGTTCGCGTTATGTTTTGCTATCTTCCATGCTAATTGCTCACCACAACAGCAGGACAGTTCAGCAGCTTTATTGGCAGCTCAGACTGCGCTTCACTCTCACCCTTCACCCCGTCCCTCCATTTTGTGCTGTACCAAAACAGTAGCAGGTAGGAAGCAACATTTGGGACACAGAGCAGGGCAAGAAGTAAACATAAGATAACAACATATCTGACTAAATACTTAATGAAATAATATGTAAGGCACCACATAAATTAATACCAAAATCATAAACAAATTAAGCAAATGCAAATGAATATTAAAGCCGCAAGCAGGAGTGCGACTGAGACAGTCGGTGTACATATGTATTTAACATGCTGTGGCTGTGACTCGGAGCACCCGTGTGAAGTTTCAGGCCGATCGGAGCACGTACAGGCCAGTTACACAGCACGTCCCATTGTACGGCGTTTTATGGCGTTTTGGAGAAATTGTACGGGCCACCATTTTGACGCCGTCGAAGTTTTGCGGAGCTGTTTGATAACTTTTAATCACCACCTCCTGTAGTTCGTGCTGGCCAAATTTCAAGTGTCTACGACTTACTCCCTAGGAGGAGATAGATTTTGAAAATGGCCAAAAATGAACGAAAATTGCAAAATTCTGACCGTGTTTTTTTCAAAAAGGTAGACTTCCTGTTGGGTTTAGGGCTTGGCAGCAATTGACTTTTTTGTGCGTCCTGACCTGCTACACATGCCTACCAAATCTTGTAGGTGTAGATGAAAGATGAAACGGCCTTCCGACGGGACTCCGTTAAATGCCAGAAACACTGAGAAAATGGCCAAAATGGCCATTTATCAAAACTGCATGGGCCACCATTTCCACGCTGTCAGACTTTTGCGGAGCATTTTCATAGCTTTTATTCACCACGTCATGTAGTTTCTGCTGGCCAAATTTCAGATGTGTACGACTTACCCCCTAGGAGGAGGTAGATTTTGAAAATTGCCAAAAATGGGCAATTTTCAGCCACAAGCCGCCATTGTTTTTAAAAATGGCCGACTTCCTGTTGCGTTTCAGGTATGTGTTCTTGAGGCTTTTTTGTGTGTCTCGAGTTGGCACGTGTGTGCCGAATTTCGTGGCTCTACGTGAAAGTGTGTTCGGGGGTCCATTTTTTAAAATTTTGTAGGGGGCGCTGTTGAGCCATATTTCTATTAAGCTGTGTATTTCCCCCTAATTATAAATTTTTCACCGGGTCTGATGTGTGTGGCAAGTTTGGTGCATGTGTCTGCTTTCTGACTTCTCCACCAAATGATAAAACCTAACTGCAATGATTTGCTTGCCAGGACACAAAGACATTGCTGAGGTCCAACACCAGCATTTGGTGAAACGATGTGTCTCCTGAACCAGTTCCCCTCCAAAGGTGTTGAATGGGGTTGAGATCAGTACTGTGTGTAGGCCACATCACCAAAACTTTTTCCTGTATGAAGCTTTCTTTGCACCTAGGTGATGTCAAATGACACAGGAAAGGGACAAATACAAACTGTTAACACAATTTTTGAAGTACAAAAATATGACTATGCAGTAGCATTAGAATTTCTTCTACTGGGCCAAATCAAAATGAAGAAAATGAGCCCCAGTTTCACACAATATGTGAGCAGCATTGATCATATACTTTGGATTCAACAGCATATTTTTGTATGTACTTCTACAGGTCGTTCTTCATGCAGTTCAGTTGTTGATTTTCACACCCCTGTGGTCCACCTCCGACAAGGTGTGGCTCAGTTTCACACTGGAACTTAGTGTGCAGTGAGCGAGACAGCCCTCCACTGGTTCAGTCTGCTCATGTTCACTCATCTATGGCAGACACGTGACCAATGGCTTTGTTTCAGTCCTGATGTGCTGATATTGACAAATCAAATGAAATGCACGTAACATTAGCGCAACATCCATAAGGCGTTAATTGGTTATAAATAAGAAGTAGTCAGATAGAATGATAAATTATAGCAGCTCCAACAAAGCACCATTCCCCTGTCCGAATGTGTTTGAGGCTCAAAGATGTGAAATCATTCATTGGTCATCCATTAAGGTTTTGAGCATTTTCTGCTACAGTAGCTTATCTGTGGGATCTCGATCAGTAAGTGTAGGGCACTTTGACCCTGACGTCGGTACGCCGGTTGTCTCCAGGATATACACACATGTCTCGCCATCACAGTTTAACTCTTGTCAGAGTCACACATTTTTCCTGCTTCAAACATACCAATTTAAGAACTGACTGTTCACTTTCTGCCTGATATATCCCTCCCACTAACAGGTACCACTGTAACTGTAACATTCCGCCTGTCACTGGTTTAAGTTTCATTGGTATCTGTGTACTGAGCACTTGTTGCTGCTTTTCCTTCACCCTGAACCACTCCAACTCGCTCCAAGTTGGATTTATGTTGGGTGTAGCAACTATTTAACAACACACTACCTTCACACAACATAAATGATGCTCTCAGAAACATTAGGAATGCAAGAAGTTCCACCTGTTAACCTTTGACAAGGCTCTCCACTCCAGGTGACGACCACATGAAGCTGCTCAACATATTATCAGTTGTGTGCAATCAAAGTGTAGCTAATTTTTGAACACCTTTTCTGTTCACTACATAATTCCAAGTGTTTTTTTATACTTTTGATTTTTTAATTTTGTCCAATGAGGAAGAGGATAGCAAAAATAAATCCTTCCAGTGATCTGGTTTTGTTATCTCTAGTTCTGCAATAAATATCTAAACATTTTGCCTTTGAAAAATACCAATCTGACAGTGATGAGTGATGAGCTGCTGGTGTAGTTGGACTGCTCTAATGTGGGCATCTTTCTTCTTCATGTCTAAATTTAAGCAGTGTGTCACAGACATGCGCCTTCAGTGTTTGCTGTGCTATTTGTTGTTCCTCGCTGCACTTTCTCAGTCATAGATTTTTCCATGTAGCTAGCATTTAGAAAGAGGAAGCGAGAAGAGCTGCAGAAAGCCCCATGAGCCGTGTTGCACCATCCACAGCACCATGAGAAGGTGAAGTGCGAACAACAGCCGACTTCACTGAGCACTGAAAACGAAGACAAGCAGATACTAATTCTACAAAACAGGTAAGACATGAACTTCATTTCATGGCTTGTAATGGTCTCTTTTTAATGTTCTAGTGAAATCTCCAAATTTGAAGAATGTTGTGAAGATCCTTCGTCACTGAAAACATATATATAGAAATGTGTTGAAAAATTAAGGAAGGAGCTTAAAACTAAAAACTAAAAAGTCTTTGATAGTTCCACTTAGATGATAGATTAATTTCAAATATGTGAAACTATGGACTTAACTTAAAAACTAAATGTGGCAGCCATAATTTAGTAGTGCCTGAAAATAGCTCAAATATGATCAAAAATATGTCATCTATGTCTCTGTTAAAAATTCATACAGTCAAGATCTGCCTTAAACAGATCAACAATTTGTTTTTTTTATACTTTTGTGAGAAATAGGAGGAGATTTTTCCCTCAATGTATTCATTTTATATTTTGGGGAAGTTGTGATATTTCCTCAAAAAACAACCTCTGTGACGTAACCATCAGTAACAAGTACGAATACTGGATTTGACAAACAGAAGTTGAATTTGAATGTTAACTGAGAGTAGATTCAGGAAATGAGACGTGTCAGCATCACTTCCCTGCAGTGTGACCATGACGGTTCATCAGCTTTTAAAACCCCTTCCTCACTCACAGAAACACCAAATAAACCTTCTAAGTGACACAGAAGTAATATGTTGCTTGTGAGTGCATCTCAGATTGTGGACATATCAGATGTTTGTTTCTTGTTGCAGGTCTGATCAGACGAGTAACACGATGGCGCAAGGCTGCCTCAAGTGTTTAAAGTACACCATGTGTGTCGCCAACTTCCTTTGTTTTGTACGTATGTCTCAATCATCCAGCATCACATTCAGAGCTCACTGGGGTTTCTGTTGTTAGTATCTGCAGCAGTGACTCCCAACCAGGCGGTACCTCCCAGTGTGAGCATGTACAAATGGTCTTTTGGTGAATAGATTTAGCCACACATCTGTCAAATCTAAACACTTCCTGTTTTGGTTGGGTGTGTGTAAAGGAACCAGCTGAATAATGTCTATTGTCCAGTTTCTACCACTCGAAGAGGGTTTTGCACAAATTGGCATCGTAACAAAGACTCCAATCCAATTCTCTTGTTAGAGGCATTTTCTATCTTCATATTATTTAACTGGATCCCTATTATGATTATTGATGTGCAAAAAGCATTTAATGTTACAACTGGTATTGGAACTGATATGGTCAGGAATAACCATGACAAGTTGTTAAGCTTTAGACAGTTAAATCTTCAACATTTAAAGAAGAAGAAAAAACTCATTGTGTTCAGTAGCTACAGAGCAGACCTGTGCAGGGTCCACTGCCAGAAATACCTGCAGAGAGGTCAATTCTAAGAAGGAAGTCAAGGGACCCATTCTTAGAACTGTACTGAATGCATGGTTGCAAGTAAAAAACAAAAAACAAATCCTATTTGTTAATTTAGATAAACCTAAAAAAAAGTTCCAAACATCATTTTTGATGGGTTGGGTAGACATGATAATGTTTGTAATTACACCCACGTATTGTGTGAAATTTGAACTCAAATTTCTGATTTAAAACTAAATTCAAGTTGAGGTAACTTAAAGAACTTGGCATGATAACTAAAATGTTCTTTACCTGGAGTTCAAGATTTCAAGGCACCCAGCCAGTAGTTGTGTAACGCAATCAGGTGTCTAAGGTGATTGTGTTGCTGCACTGTGTCTTGTCTCCTGTCAGATGTGTGGTGTGGCGGTGCTGGGCTTCGGTGGGTACATGATGGTTAACTTCCGGTTAACTGCTCTCACCCCCAACCTGGCCAGCCTCAACATAGCCAACCTGCTGCTGATCAGCGGCATCGTCATCACCTGCGTGTCCTTCCTGGGCTTCCTGGGTGCTCTGAAGGAGAACCGCTGTCTCTTGCTGACGGTACCACACCCACACACACACACACACACACACACACACACACACACACACACAAACTGGTTGTGTCGTTGTTCTAGTCTATCTGCTAACTTCTAGAGTTCTATTTAAAATTATTTTTTTGGCATTTTGACATCCTAACACAGTACTTCCCAGTCGGGGACTCCCCAGGATGTCACAACATGATGACAGAAATGACAACGCAGCTCTATTTTAAGCATACTTAATTATCATTATTATTATTTTGTTCTGTGTATAGTCCCAAACCAGTCATAATGTCTTTAAAAGCCCCTCGTATCAAAATTCCCTGTGACATGGCTCTGTGCAGTATATACATGGCATTTCAAGCTTTATTCTAGACTGTATATAAAAGATGGACATAACCTCTGGGTCTAAAAAGCAAAGTCAACACAGACATAGTCTTGCGTAGCCAGGCCAGTCTGTACTGCAGAATGGTCCCTTTAATTATTCATTTATTCACATTGTTAGTATCTGCAGCTAAATACCAACTGGTTGTGGTTCCAGGTTCAGATATCTACAGTATAATCCTGAATATAATCCCAGTCCAAGATATCTTAAACTCCCCCTTAGAGACCTTTAATTTGGTTTAAGCAAGTCAAATTATGTTGTAAAAATCTCACACTGGAATTGTGCCACACCAAAATGACGCTGCAGATATGTGTAGTTCATATGCACACATCAGCAGTGTCACAGCTCAGACTAGTCATAATGGTGTTTGAGATACCTGCAGCTGTTGTTCTGACCAGTCCAAAGTGAGTTACAGGTTTCTCTAACTGCTGTTTTGACTGATCACAAGGATTAAATGAATTGTTTGTAGTTTTAAATCCAGACAGTCAAACTCAGCTATTAAATGGTAAAACAGCTTGTCATAGATTCAATTCAATTTCAGTTTTATTTATATAGCGCAATCCACAGCATATGTCCCAACCCAACAATCCAGAGTTGCCTTTGGACTCCATCTAAGCAAGCATTCAACAACGATGGGAAGGAACCAAAAAAAACCAAACTTCTAGATGTCTGAGCTGCTTAGAAAACTTTGTGGTGTTTCCTATTTTTGTTCCAAATGCTCTGTGACATTATGACTTTCACTCGTCTTGTCCTCGACTTGTCACAGTGGACCTGCTGCTGCACTTACTGTCACCATTCAACACATCTGTTGTTGTAGTCTTAAGTATCTATGGTACTATCAAAGAGCAAGCACAGCTACATTTTCAGAATTGTTGGCGTTGATTTGGTAACTGTTTTTGTGACATCCCATTGAACTGTTACTGACAACATCTTATGTAGAAAAGAAAACTAGACACAACAACATGAAAAACTCTTAGGCCTCTCTTCCACACAGCTTTGTTAGGAGTCCGTAGCTCCACAGATTATACAGAATATGCCTCCTGGTGCTCAAGAAATGTATTTTGTACAGATTTTGTAGCTGAACGGGTCTCTTTTTAATTATACTTTGGTACAATTTGATTGTCAGCATTTAAGCAACTAAATAGCCTGTTAGTTACAGACACCAATCTTTTAATAATCCGCCACTAAAGTTCAGCAACTGGAAGGAGGAATTTGACAAACACATTGTAGATTACAGGGGCTCCAATAGGACTGAACGGACTTCTGGTTGACTTACATACATTGACAGAGCTATGTGGAAGCAAAACGTTGATATCCACACAAATAACACACTGACTGTTTGGCTCAAAATGGAAACTTTTGTCAGAAGGTGTTAAGTTTTGCAGCCATGAAAGTAAAGAAAATCTTCAATTTCTTGCCTGCAGGCTTGTACTTGTGTGGTTGTTGGACTGCTGACATTTTTGTCTTTTTAGTTTTGTCAGCAGCTTTTCACAGATCAGTGAAAATAAAATGCCATGATACTGGTTTGTGGTTTAAAGAGTAAATCAGTAAACTCTGTTGGCAGTTTTTCCTGCTGCTCTTCATCCTGATGCTGGTCGAGCTGACTGCTGCATGCCTGCTGCTCATATACGAGGGAGAGGTACGGCCACGTCCATCTACAATCACGCTGTGTTGTGCAAATACTGGAAACACACATAGACTGTGTCATCTCACCTTGCTATATAGATTTCTGCCATGGTGCAAAAAGATCTCGACACGGGTCTGAAAGACGCAAAAGGACAGGCTGCAAACTCAACAAACATAATGAACGACTGGGACTTGCTTCACCAGACGGTAAGATTCTCAGAAACGTAGTGTAGTGACACACAGCGGTTGGATATTCAGTGTTTTCTCTAAATGGCTTGTTTCAGCTTAAGTGCTGCGGAGTCAATGGAACGGCCGACTGGGGAAGTCATGTGCCTTCATCCTGCTGCGAGAGCCGCTGTGGATCTCCAAATCCTGTGTACTTTCAAACGGTAGACACTGTTAGACGCTGTAGATGTCAAACGGTCATTTTCTTTTAATTGCATTTAAGTGTTAACTAGCTAAATTCAAATTTATGCTCTTTTTGCAGGGTTGTCTGACAACATTGAAGACCTTCTTTGAGGACAATTTCCTCATCACTGGCATTTCTGTCATTGTTCTCTGCATTATCGAGGTAAGCTGATGGAGGTATTAAAATGGGACGGTTTCTTGTGAAGTTGTCAGCAAAACAAAGAGCACATGTCATAAAGGCAACTTAATTCGGATGCCAAACATATGAAGCACTCTTTCATAAAAACTGATCTCTAATACATCAGTGTTTTGTTTTTAACTTGTCTGTCGGGATTCAAGTGACCAAAGACAACAACAAAAACAAATCAATGAATGAAGCTTTAATACTCCAAGTCTACTCAAATTTAAAGATTTCCAACTTCTCTTAGTTTTAATAAAGCATTTTTTTTCTGTCCTAAATAAAAATTTGTACAGTATGCTTAAAATTGAAAAACTGTTGCAATTTGGAATAAATGTCCAAACATTCATTTTAATGGAGTGACAGCTATCAGGATGTGTCCATGCTCCCGAGAGAGACAAACATTAGGCAAGAAGGTTGTCAGATTCATTGTACAATTTCATTTTTTTAAAAATCTGATTTGTTTACAGGTCTTGGGAATGTGCTTCGCCATGACACTCTTCTGCCACATTAGTCGATCTGGACTGGGCTACAAGTTATAGACGTTGGTTTCTCAAACTATATATATATATATTCTATCTCTATATTTTAGAGTTAGTTTCATTGTACAGTTATGTCCTTTAAAAAAAATCTGGTGCAGGAAAACAGAAAAGGCTTTTTGATATACCTTAGATCAGATTATTTTCTAAACTCAACATCTTGGTAAGTTGTTGTGAAAGATTGGAGTTTTTGTGCTTGACAGACTTTTTCATGCTCCTGAAAAAGAAAGAAGTAAAAAAAAAAAAAGGTTTTTCGTTTTTGGCTACTTCGGTCTTCTATGACAATAAGCTCAAGCTTTGTACAATGCTATTTCAGTCATGTGAAATGAACACAAGTTCTGTATATGACTTCCTTGTTGCCAAGTTTATCTGAATGTCTTTGCGTGGTTTTTACTTTAGAGCATTTTTGAAAAGCAATTGTTTGTGTAAAAATACTGCCTATTTCCTGTAACTGCCTTTCACAAACCATTTACTGACAACATATTTGAAAATGCACCAATAAAGTATTGTTTACGATATAAACATGGCACCGTGTCACTCTTTTTACAGTGTTCATGGTGTCAGATGATCTACATTTCCTGTCTCTGGCTTGGAGTTGACTGATCTGTGGTGGAGTCTTAAAAATAACCACTTCCTCTTTTGCTTGTGTTCACGCAGTCAGTTCCGCTAAACGTTTGACACTTGTGTTGCACTAAATCTCCCTATTTAAAAAGCTGTGAGGTGTTCTATGTTCAGTAACTCTCAATATAAATGAGGGTAACTGAAGCAATTTTTCTAAGAACTTTGGAAATAAGTTCAGTTGAGAAACTGACAGTTCTATGTCTCACAACATATTCAACTGCAGTAATGGAGACATACTGTACAGAAAGTTGAAAACGAAAAGTAACACAGATGAATTTATTTATTTAAAGAATAAATCCTGCATCAATATTTAAGACAAAAAAACCTAAAAAAATACTAAGCTTTCCTTTACACTTTAAAATAATTTTGTTCTTTTTGAAACCATCACACAAAAAAGTAGAAACAAGTACAATTTTTGTAATTTAAAAAAAATGTAACTGTACACAGCAGAATATACCATTTATTGCAAACTGAACACCCCTGACACCTCGGAAACTATAGACACAAGTATTGCAATTCACCTACAGATATGAAAAGACAAAAAAGATAAAGAAACTACTCAGATACAGCTCGCTCATTCTCTTCATCTGTGAAACAAACAGCTGTGTTAAGTCTGGATTCCCCCCTCTAGTGCCCCTGTAAGTCTCCAGAGGCAGCCCAGTATCTGGCATGTGTCTTGAAGCTGTTCAGGTCCATTTCAACAGGGATTTCCAGTAAGTGTGGATATTGTTTCCTCCTCCGTTAGATATCAGATGAACACAGTTATCTTTGGGAGACACTACACTTATGCAAAACTGAGCCAAAATGATTCAAACTGCTTTCTTAACAGGAACATAGAAAGTCCTCCATGACAGTGGGTCCCTCTGAGTGGCGATGCACTTTTTACATTGATTCACAGGAAACCTGGTGTTACATTATTGTAAAGCACTCCTGATCTTACATTATGGATTAAAAAAAAAAAAAAAGACATTCAGTTCTTGCTACCGCTGAAAGGTTACAAAAAGCAGCTCATTTAGAAAAGATTTCATTCGACAGCCTTAGACCATTTAAATACTTAAGTTACACTCAAATATCACTGGACAGGCTCAATTTTAAACACGCCACCCACCACATAAGTTAATTTTACAGTTGTTTGAAGTGTTGCTATTAACAAATGCTATTGTAGTGAACCCCTATGAACAAAATGTTGCTAAAATGTTGGATAACTAGTTTGTGCTCAGGATGTTTAAAAGAAAAACCATTACAAATGCCCCCGCAGTAGACGGTCTCAGAATTAAAGTTATTTGGAAGCGCAGACAGTACCGTGCCTAAAAGAACATTCTTATTGGAAAGAGAGTGCCTGGCAATGACATGAACGTTTCAAAGACCGAAACATTCTCGGTAAACAATTAATCCACCCCAAAGACTCGCGGTCGCAGATGAGATCTTCTGCAAAGAAATCAATAAATAAGAAAAAGACAGAAACTACTTTTTCCCAACCCTGGTTCACAAACCCCCACCCAAACTCCCATTGGTAAACCCAGTGCCCCCCTCCCCCAACCACGATCCACCGATTTAACTGGAATAAGTAAGAACAGTTAGGGTACCCAGCCCCTAGTTTCACAACATTAAAATATCACGGTTCAAACTGCAGTCAGTTCATTAGTGACTGACACAGATGTTAAGATCTATTCTGCTTAATGTTCAGTCACATCACATACAGTATACAGAGAAGCATGGCCAGAACACCACCAACACCATCTGAACATCACCCCCACAGCTGCTGCTAATCCATTTACACTAGAGTGTGACAATAAAAACCATAAGACTCATTAATACCACCACGCTAATACCTCCAAAATTACCATTTACAACAAAAAGCACTGAACTAACTAAATCTGTGGAAATATGAAATTCTTAAATTAAAAAAGAAAAAAAAGTCTGTGTAAGGGCTCTGGTGGGAATTTCTGAAAGAACAGAGAATATTGAGAGGTGAGTTGCTCTTCCTTCACATGGAGGCTGTACTTAAACCAAAATAGGGCTCTTTCAGCTGTGCATCAGCCTACAGTCACATGACTACATGGGATTGATGGGAGTTTCAGCAGATACCATGGCCCGAAGTCAAAACAGAAACACTTGAAAGACTAGAGAATTTGAACGTAATCAGATGAGAAAACAAGCTCACCACAAGGTTCACTTAGTTGCTACGGCTGTCACTTTTCACTCAACATTCTTTATATAAGGAAGAACTAAATACACAGTTTTCAAAAATGACAGTCTGTGGGCATGTCAGGCAGTAGCAGTCTGTGTTGTGGTCCAGCAGAGGGAGCAGCTTGACCTACAACTGCCTGACTGACATGAGGAATAGAGCTATTTAATAAATGTGGAGGTTGACAGTTGGGAGAAAACTGCTTACTTGCCACCCAAAGGAAGCAGTGAAGGCACCACAAACAAGTGAACGTTAACTGCACAGCTTCATCTGACTGCCTATTATTAAACAACAAGGTCCTCACCAGTGGGAGAGCAAGATCAATACCACATTCAGTACAGTCTATATTGAAGGTGATATGGACTGCGCTTTAATTACTTCAAACTTCAATTTTTGAAAAAAGTGACAGTCCTATCAGTCCAGGACAGCAACTCAGTGGACCTTTGTGATGAGTTTGTTCCATACTGCCAGTACACAGTCCAACATGAACTGTCAGCATCCAAGTAAACAGTATTGAAAGCACTCAGATAACTCTGAACATGTGGGTGAAGTGTCACTGAACCACAGAAAGCATCATCCATCAAACAACTGCCAAATTTCCATTTTTCTGTATCCTTTGGTGTCCCTCAATCAAGCAGTTTCATTCAGATTGTGCAAATTAAAGTAGCTGGATGGAAAGCTAGTGATGCTTCGTACGACTGACTGTACTAACTGGCAATCAGGTGTGACTCTGAGACACACTTCACCTGAAAGCCCTACCCTGTTGATGTCACTGACACCACACTGTCAGCTGTTTGGTTGAAGAAGAGGCTTTGAGTTCTGTAGGTTACTTCTTCAAAACTGCATGAGAGAACAATTATGGCTTATATTTGTATTTAAAAATCTGACAATGACTTGGAGCATGCCAAACCTGAGAACACAAAGCAGAAATCAAATCATATCATTAACAATGACAGAGACGCTAATGTGAATGCAGCCGTAATTCAAAATAGTTTCACACAGGCCAAGAGCAAAAGCAGCTCCGACTGTGGTTCGAGACAGACAGACCAGCCCTGGCTCCCTCCACCATGTCTACTCTTGACAGATCCATGCTGCATGGGATTAGCTTTATCGACCATGTGGAGGCTCGGCCTTGTTAAAGAGAAACAGTGTTTCATAAATGACTCTGCCTGTGTCTACAAGGTGCAATGATTAAAACAGCACAGCAACGTTAGCTGAATCCTGAAGCCCTTTAAGCTCAACTAACAGTTGTGTAAGGCAGCTTGTTTTCACCATTAAACCAAAGTTATGATACAACCTCATCTGCTGGAAATATATTGCATCAAGGAGCAGCGTACACCTGAGTGCTAAGCAGGGTCAAATGCAATCCTAAACAAGATACACATTTTTTTTTACGTCAGTTTAAAGAAAACAGGAAATAGTTAGAGACCTCCTCAGGAATCACACTGTGAGCACCATGATCAACAAGTCACGCGTTGTACTAATGAACAGGCTCAGACAAGAAAGACTGTGATAATCACAGTTTCTTAGACCACTTTCTGTTCCAACGTACAGCACACAGGCAGGGAGCCACTCTTGGTTGTCACTCTGCTACAGTGATACAACATGTTTGTTCTCTACACACTGACTACTATTGAAGGTGACAGTGTACATTGTCCAACTCTTACTGAAAGAAATATCACCTGATTTTCACTTTTCCACAATAGACGAGCGGTCCTGACAATTTTTAAATTTGAGAGTAATCTTACAGACACATCTACTTTATGCAGCAGTGAAAGCAAGCAGGTTGTGAACCTGAATTATTTCCATCGCTTTTCCTGTGTGTAACAGAGAGCAGCACCATCAGTGCCTTCAAGAAAAAAAAAAAAAAAACGCTTCTAAAAGGGTCACCATGTTCCAGATTTGCACGACTTCATGTTGAGACTCAAGAGACTGACATGTTGAATGCTGGCAGCTGTAACACCTTCGTGTTTAGATGACACAATAACACGTCCCACAGTCTGCTTCATTTGACCCACACCAAATTTGTTGCAGAACATTAAATACTCCTCACACCTACCCAAGTCCAAATTAGAGCAGCTAGTTACCCAAGTTACTCCGTGATAATACAGTGTTAATGCTGCACACATGCTAATATGTTAATGCCGTTGACAACATGAACTAAAACCATCTCATCTGCAATCTGATGACATTCTAGTAAAACTAGGAAAGCAATCGAACCGTTTCATATTTCTTGAACCTGTGGCTGTGCTTTGCTGTCAGCTGTACGCTGTGTTCATCAGCATGGAAATGTATTCCTGCCATTGTGTTGGTTAGACCAATAAATGACCTGCTAGTTTTACACAAGTGGACAAATACTTAGTCTGTAACTGAGCCCTTAAAATCATGTTGAGATTCTCATCAACCATCTGCTTGGTTTTACTGCAAAACTTCTCATATTTTTGTTTAGAAAAATTAAGTATCAGGGTGAGCTTCTGTATTTACTGCAAAACAACTGGGCCAAATAAATCAGTCTAGTGGCATAGGGTAAATGTCATGACAAGTGTCATTAGTTTGAGGAACTGACTGATGGGGCAGTATTCTTTTTAAAGTGCTCATTTAGTGAAACCAGTTTAACACTACCTGTTGTGTTGTAGCCAATCGATAAGATTTTAAGACTGAATAGAGTATTAAGTGATGTCAATGCCTCTCTACCCCTCAAACAATAGTGTGCTTTCACAATGTCTTTATTTGGATCTACAGCCAATTTTCTCCAGGCCCTGCTTGGTTTGCTACCCAACCCCCAAATGTCAAATGGTTATTTGGCTATTGGCTAATTATTAGTTTACCGCACCATTAATAGGAACTTTGTCCCCCCCTACTTGACCACATTTACCGTAATGAGTGAGTTTTGTGTAAGTGTTTTCCATTTGTGGAAGACGATGTCATCTGACAGACTTTTATTCTCTCTTTCAGATCTTTCACTGCTGCACTCTATGGCCACAGACTGTTTCAACAAGGTAACTATCATACATGTTGAGTTTTCACTAAACCTCCTTTTTGCAAAGTTCAGTGTCTCATGTTACCTGTTCCTGTTGTCAGCCTTTTCAACTTTGAGTTTCACCTCCTGTGTGCTCTTGTAGGTTTGTTACTGTGGTGTGGAAATATTTGCAAAAGCAGTAAATACTGGAAGCTCCTATTGAAAGAAAATGTCCAATCTTCTACAAAAACTTCTAAAACAGGCATTTCATTTGCTTTCACATCACTAGCTTTACATTTCAGGTCTCCAGTCCCATTTATGTTGCATTACATTGAAAGGGGCACATGACAACTGAGCATTTTAAGATGTAAGCTGATCAAGTGACCTGCACCAGCAGCCCCAGCTTTATGGCTGTTGAACTGATTTACATTTTGGCTATGATCACAGTGTACCTAAAGGGTCTGAGTAAGACTAATTTATCACTGAAAATGGGAAACAAAATATTTGCAGTGTATATGCACATAATGTGGTTGTCATATTTTTCTGACAACAGTTGAATATGCCTCCCTGTAGGTCAGATTGTCAAATGCAAGTCAACCTGTTCAATAGATTTTCTCAGTTGGCCTGATGTCAAACATTTTAACATACATCTATATACCGTTCTTCCCCCTGGCAGTCAGGTCTTAGTCATTTGTGTAAAGGAAGAGAAGACTCACTATTAGACTAAGAAAGACGTTAAAGTTATTTCTACAGTTTGTTACTGAGCTTTGCTGGAGAGTTAGTTGTGGGTCGTGGCCTGTCAGGGCAGCCAGCTGTGGCCTCTCTGAGGCACGGGAATGCTGTGGTTTTGGACAAGGTGACAGCCTCTCTGCTCAGTGCTGCAGGGAGCTTAGAGGGGCATTAGCCTGGTGGTGTGGAAAAGGAGGGGGTTCAGGTCCTCAGCATGGACGGCCCGATGGAGCGATGGCTCTGAGCGGCTCCGCTCAATTTTTGGCAGCAGTTCTTGCACCTGCTCAATGGCTACCAGGATCTGATGAAGGACAACCAAATGTAAGGAAACTATTAACAACACATATACCGAAAGTTTGCACATTGTAATGACAATTCATATATGGGAATTATAAGTATATAAAAAAAAACAAAAAAACCTTGTCTGACACCAATGACATTATTTTTCAGGAGTCCATTTTTATGGATTATACATTACTGCATTTACATAACCTTTTCAGACAACAAATGAAACATATATATATATATATATTTGTATTTTTATTTTTTTTTTCACACCTTGCGCAAGATTTAATGGCTTTGGACTTTGGTGGCCACCAGTGTAGGTGTATATTAAATAAATAAAAAAAATAAAGACTGTGGTAACAGCAGTGCAAACCACTATGTTCTTTTTTGCTTTAATGCTTCTCCAGTTCATACTGAATGATGATACTGTTTTTGTACTCAGTTGAGCCTGTGCTAATTTTGTGGAATACCTTCGAACAGTAGTAATCTAAACCTTACTGACCTGTGGAAACAGAGGCCTCTCATCACGCTTGAACTTCAGGCAGTCAATAATAAGCCTTTTCATTGACTTAGGTGAGGTACTATACAGCTTACTTAGGTCTGGAGACACGTAACCGCGTCCAACCATGAAGATTATCTGAGAAAAAAAACAAAGACATAGTTATTGAACTCTAACAGTGCTATGTGAGTGGAAGAGTGTCGCTGCCAACTTAAAGCAGGTATATAATTAGTACAACTGGTAACAATGTTTTCCACCTGGTCAAGGTCTTAATTTGATACAGCTAGTGAATGTGGGACAGCCTGGATATACTGTGATCGGTGTCATTCCATCTTTTAGTCAGTTAGTGAAACCAGATGGATTGCTATGACATTTGGTACAGACATTTGCAACCTTGGTGTTGTCATGAGTTTCTACTAAGTGCCACCAGCAGGTAATTCTTTTTTAGTTTAGCTTAGTTTAGTCCTGCTAAATTTGCTTTCACAGCATGTGAAGATGAGATCATAATGATGTGGTCTCTTCCTGACTGCTTTACTTAACACACTTGAAAATCTGCAAAAGCAGGGTGCAACGCTGGCACCTACTTTTGTAATGAGCTGAACACCAGGCAGGAGGTCTAGTAGCAGAATCAGGAAGGCCTCAGCAGAGGTATCTTCTGTCCCACCTGTGTGCCCATATCTCTGTTTTCCATGATTCATGGAATTTCAGATGTGTACAGGCTATGTGTAAAAACCATAGCCTTGTGGTAAACTCAAACACACACTATACATCTATAGAATAGCTACCACACTGCACAATGTATAGTGCTGTCTGCTTCAAACCACCCCATTCATTTTTTACAGGGGCTATGTTATGTGTTATCTGCCTGTCATCATATATCACATCATATAATCTGATTGTTATAACTTACTAAGCTGCTGCCATCATCACTGTTCCACACTGTTCTGTTTGCCTATTAACATGTCCTCTTTATTTATTGTTTAAGTTGTCACACTTATTGTTTGTACTGGCTTTTTGGTATTTTGTTTGCATCTATTTACCCATGTCTTTCTACCCACTGACATTTAGTACGTGGCACAGTTGGTCACAATTAAGTATATAACCCAAATGCAGCAATGCAGCAACTGTAACACTGCAGTGCTAACGGGTTATTAAATGACACCGATATTTGATAGCTACTATTCCTCATGCTTAGAAAATTAAGTCCCTTCATCATGTACTTATTTTCACAAAGATGAATTGAAATAATCAGAAACAGCTTTAGAGTGAGTCAGTTAGGTGTTAACACAAAGAGGAATAGTGTCAAGGAACCTGGTCTCTGTTGTTGATATTGCAGTAAGGCAGGGTCCCTGACATCAGCTCAAACAGCACTACTCCATAGCCATATACATCAGACTGGAACGTGTACGGGTTGGTGTCCTGCATTCGGATCACTTCAGGAGCCTTGGATGGAGAAAAGGACAAAACACAAGAAGCCACTTATTGAACCATCCTGTTTACACTCATTTGGCTGCTTACTAGGATGTTATGTCTCAAATATAACACAAGTATCTATGTCAACATATGGTATCACATAACATTTGCATGTATGGAAATCAGATTTATCAAAGAAGCATCAATGAGTTACCAAATTCTGGTTTTTAGCAAAGTGCATGAAAATCTAATTAAAATTAGATAATCAATATACAGAGACAAAATGCTTTAACTTTCTATCATATTATTCCACGTTATTTAAAAAAAAAAAAAAAACAGAGACAATTCTTGACACACTCATGACTTGATGTCATTATGTACGTTTCATAATCATTGTGGACAGACATTAAGAAATGCAAAAAGCCCAAACCAAAGGTAAATTCCTTTTGGTGGAAAATGTGAATAAGCCAGTGAAGTCCCCTGTCAAAGATCCAAACTACGACAAAAAAAAGTTTCATATGCGACCATTTTTTGAGTGTGTACAATTCAAAATTTCACATGGCTGCATTTGTTTGTTTTGTCAAAGTTGATAGCACCAATGTTACCAGTGTCTGGAGAGCTGCATGTGCACAGCTATAAAATCTAAAGTTATCTATAAAATAGATAACTTTTATAAAACAGAAGGTAAATATTTAGCTCACTGATGGGGGCAGCTAAAATCTTTATCTGAGAGAAGTCAAACAGGCAGACATTGAGTACTATCTTCACAATGTGAACACAATCAGACGATCCTCACAAAAGCTGTCAGTCAATATTTAAGTGGAGTTTACCATTTTGAGGTCTAAAATAATCAAATCTAATATTTTATGTCATTGTAAAATAACCACATTGTTTTAATGAATCTGTCTTGAATAAGAGTCATCATGTACAGTGTAACAAAAGCTTACCATCCAGAGAATGGACCCGCTGGGCTGTTCAACCTGTTGGGAGCCGCTCCACCGAGACTTCACTGTGGCCAAGCCAAAGTCACCAATCTTGACAGTCCAGCCCTCGTGGAGGAAAATATCTGGTAGCAGAGCTCAGAAAATATTACAACAGACACTTGCTGTCGATATTCATGGTTTCAGTTCCAACAAAAACCTTAAACAAGTAAGAAATGATGAAAGGTAACAGGGACAATGAGGAAAGAAAGGGAATGTTTTTTTCACAGAATGGAACAGACCTAAGTGCACTGTCAACTGTTAGTGGCAAAACTTTACCACAATGAACAAGTTCATTTCAAATGCTTAGCCATAAAAATGGTTCAGAGTTCTAAATTTGGAGTTTATATAAAAACAGAGAAAGGTGACCTACCCTTCAAGTCAATGTAATCTGGTTTCAATTCACATGCTATTGAGAGGAGACACAAAATACTCAACATATTACTGTTTGACTGCTCTATACACCTCAGTCTATTAAAAGCCAATGATTCTTGTTTGTGGTTAAACCTTAAACAGCGACAGAGCATGTTTTTCAGACCAGTCATTGTGGTTATTGCTTGAATGTGCAGCTGTCTATGCTCAGAAACCTATGTTGACTTCTGTCACACAGTTTTTAACTAAGCCAAAATCTACCACTGAACAACAAAAGGATACTGTTTGATTTCAGGTCGCGATGAATAATGTTCTTCGCATGAAGATAACTGAAAAAGAGAGACAAAAGTTTTTATTACGGATGTCAACTTTGATGTTGAAACAATGACTACATTTTGCACAAATTTATGAAATCCCTGCATGAAGGAATCAGGCTTTACTTTTGACATTATTGCAAAAGTGCCCCATGCACAGACACTGTCATACCATTTGTAAAGTTAGTTTCACATTAAATGAAATGTAACCAAATGGAAGTAAGTTCATGCATGTTATGTACATGTGATGTATGGTGCTTAACAAATTTACAAGACCACCTGTCTCATAAAATGTTTTAATGTGCACTCAGCTCTCGATGTTTTACCATTCTGAACAGGAATGAGGACTTTCAAACTGAATTCACCTTTTGTACCCATATCTAAGCTGGCTCATTGGGCTTCTCTGAAAAGTCAGAAATTATCAAGCATAACATTCAACCACTAAAACTATTTTTTCTGTTCAGGAATGCAAGTAAATAGCTATAATTTGACATCTTGATCAAGAAATAATAATGTGCTTTAGTATTTTTTCTGTTTTTTGTAAAACAGTAAATTTGAAAACACATGGATAAAAATAATAATTATATTTTAGCATTAAAAATATCATTTAGGTTAACGAGCTTCTACATACTGGTGTATTCACGATTACAGAAACATGAAAAAATGATTTTGGTAATTTCCAATGCTGTTAATTTAGGGCAGCTGTTGTATAAACCTTACATTGGGTAGTGGTCTAATACATTTGTTAAGCACTGTATCTCACTCAATAATTCACAATCTACCAAAGTCCATTCTGTGCGTGTAACAAGTACTGGGAAAAATGCTTCAACAAAATGAGACTTGATGTCTAGTATGTCAAACAGAGCGTATATAATGAGTAAGTGCTAATGGTGAAATGGAATCTTTTCGCAGGTCTTACTCCATGCCCTGTGCTGTCTGTCTGGCCACATCAATGCGACGCATAGTGTCAAACTTGGTTTCTGTGACATGCAGATGGCGATACAGGCTGCTGCCTTCACACCACTGTGTGATGATGGCAAAGTTGGGCTTAGTCATATAGCCCATGAACAGCAGGATGTTGACGTGGCGGGTCTTCCTACAGAGAATAGAAACATGATGTTGTTAGAAATTCCATTATCTCATCTGCAATCACATAGAGGTCAAGTTACATTAGATCAAAGTCAGATCATGAAAATATGAACTGCTGTTAGTCAAAGTAGTGCCAGTGACAGTTATTATAATGCCTCTCTATACAAAGGTATTTTACCAAACATTGGTCAGTGAAAGCCTATTGTTAAAAAACAAAGTCCTAAAGTCATGTAAAACACAAACAGCACTGCTCACCGTAAGACCTGCATTTCATTTTTGAATGCCTGTAACTGCTCAGGCGTTGGCTCTTTGACTTTGAGTATCTTGATTGCCACATCTCCGTGCCATTTGCCCTTAAAGACAGTTCCAAAAGAGCCAGCACCTATTCGCTTCTGGATGTTGACCTCTCGAGAGTGGACTTCCCAGTAGTAAGTTGAGTCTCTGTAGGCACCTCGGTGCTGAAAATACACATTGATTGAACATGCAGAACTGGGAGTTCACCTGAAGTAAATCCCTTTACTTTGTCTTTTTACATAAACACTGTGAATTGATCTTTAAAGGTTGTACACCTACTAATAATTCTGTTTAAAGACTACTTATAGCCGTTGAATAAGGTTAAAGACTACATACTACTTTCTTTTTGTCGTCAGATGAGGAGGGTTTGCGCTCCTTGTGCTCTGAAGGGGACTTGGGTGGTCTCCTTCCTGGAGATCCAAGAGAAGAGGGTGGACTGGTGGAGGGCTTCGGTGACGGCTCAGGGCCTGTGGAGATGAGAGACAGCACAACAAGAGAGAGGTCAAACGCAGAATAACAAAACTTGTAAGAATAGAAAATGGTGACAACTTCTGAAATGGAAGAAGAAGAAAGAAATTCAAACTGTACCCATTGTGTTGTGTAATTTTAGTGCTTCCTAAAGGGAGGAAAGATACAACACTGTTAATTTGATAACCTCATACACACATTAGTAACTGTAGAACTCCAAGACTGCATACAGTAAGATATAACTGGATCCTCTCATTGCATAGGCAACCAATCAAAACATGGACCAAGCAGTCAACACTGACCTCAATGATGCTGGCATTAGCAGGGCCCACGGTGCTGACCATGTGAACATTGGGAGTGGAGGTGGAGCGGTGCCTCTGTAGAGACTGACCATCTCCACCTGACATGGGGAAGTGAAAGGTCGAGGTCGGGGACAGGAGGCCCATTCTAAGTGATGAAGTAAAATAGTCACCATCTGTATTTCAATATCAGTTTCACAGGTTGAGGTTAAACTGTCCTTTGAATTTGAATGCAATTTGTTTAGTTTTACAGCTTACCCAGCAGGCTCTGGGGTTAAGGCTAAGTTGCTCTGAGACGGGGAATTTTCTGTCAATAGTATCCGTGGAAATTCATCTGTGCAGGGATTGGTCTCACCCCTAGACAAAACACAGTAGGAACAGGATGACACATGATCAAAGAGACTTAAAGTTGATAAGGTTCTGATTATGTTAAATTTTTACTTTTGTCACCCAGGCTTCCTGCATCAAAAAAAGAAACCCAGCCAATAACCAAAACAGACACTGTTTTCTCTTCACTCTACCATGTGTAGCCCCAACAATGCTGCTGCTGCTGCGGAGTTTTTTCCCTTCAGCACAAAATGCACAGTTGTCTTCCTTTTAATCTGTATGCCTGGTCCAAACATTGCTGGTTTTGAGAATGAATGGGAACTTTTCACCTCGGAGGCAGTACGACAAACTTCAGACAAGAGTGAAATGTGGCTACAGAGTAGACTTTTTAGGAGTTTAGCACTTCTATAGCAACACAAATCAGGGGTCTAGACTGCGATCAAAATGGTCACATATGCAACCTTTGTTTGAGAATGTGCGAGTATAAATTTCAAGTGGTCACATTCGTGCGAGTGCATGATGATCATTAAGCTGTTTTGCTGTCGCTCTAACCAGCGAAGGCAGCTACTGCGTTAACCACAGTGGTGGAAAGTAGAACTTTAATGTCTTCTGTGGCTCTGTCAGTCTGTCCTTGTCTCTTGTTATTTTAGCTGCTGTGCATTTTAATAACAAAGTAAAATAAGAAAAGAGCAGGTAGAGAGGGAGAGGTCCAGCTTAGACACACATGATGATCAGAGTGCAGGTGCAGGTGGGGAGACTGACCAAATGAAGGAAAAAGTTTCAATACATTAAATTACAATGGCTAACACAGTAGTAGGGCTGCAAAATTAAATGAATAGTAATCACAAAAATGATTTTAGCTTCCCACCATTACATGAACACGATTGACTGTGGTATGAACATTAAAAAATGCACTTTCCTCTTACAAAAGAGGAGCCCACCTGCGTGCCCCATTTTGTCCGCTCACAGAAAACAGCGCCTGTACATAAAATCATTATTTTATCTTGAACAATTTTGACATTATAACACCATATTTCACCCTTTTAAAGTTATGTTTGCTCACACACCTGTCTGAGCACATGGCAGCCGCCAGGTAGCATCCACTGCAGTGGACATCGCTAAATGTGGAGTCTTTCGATAGGAAGATGTTTAGCAAGTGAGTTTTTTTTGCCTGTTCAAAGGTGGGAGGTGAGACGAATTGAGAGATTCGGCTACACTGCAGCTACCAGTGACAACATTAGTCTGGAGCCCCGACAAGTGATGCAGAATTTTAAGCTTTAAACAGTGCTGTTCAAACATTTTAGATACTTCAGATGATTAGATTCATCACACAACAGCATCAAGGAGCTATCAGAACAAATGAATTCATCATTTTGAGTCATAAAGCTCTCTTTTCAGCAACATGAACAAGGACTTTTGCAACAGATGATATGGCCCCCCCCAAGAGCTGTGATCTCAGCATAATGGAGTCAGTCTGGGATTACATGAATAGAAAAGAAACACTCAGTCTAATTCCACTGAAAAACTGTGGCAAGTTCTCGAAGATGCTAGAACACCTATCTGCCAAGCACCTTGAACACATATGCAAAAGTGTGCTAACAAAAATCTCTGCTGTCTTGAAGGCAAAGGGTGCTCACACTTAATATTCATTTGATTAGGTTTGCTCTACCTTCAGCCCTGGGTGATGGATTTCATTTTTAAATATAAACTGCGAATGGAGTTAGTTTTGAAAGTAACCACACTTTACTCTAGTACCTAAAACGTTTGCATAGAACAGCATCTGAAATTTTTTTTAATGTTTAGTAGACCCAAACTGGAAAATAACCCTTGCCTCTGTTGGCATCAAATGACCAGAAAGGCGCTTGGTACGCCCGATAAAGTGAAAAGTTTTTCTTCCATCTCACCTTTTGCTCACTGTATCCATATCCACACATACAGTAGGCACCTTGCTGCTGCAGTGCTGGTGAAATTTGTAGCCACATGTCTGACATCTGAAGCCGTTAAAAAGAAACTTGTGGCAAAAATCACAGTAAGCCAGCTTGAAGAAAGTTTTCCGTACCTGCACAGACAAAAAGGCCATGATATTCACTTCTGCAGCAAAAATGTTTAGAGACATTCTTGCAAAAACTATCACAGATTCAAATATAAGGCAAATATTTCTCAGTTTCTTGATAGTCCAGCATTCTGTGAATATTACATGTTTCAATGAAAGCCATAACCATGTTATACAAAGGTGTGTGTTTTTGCCTGCTACTTACAAAGTTGTGCATTGTGAGGGGAATATCATCCAGGACCTCGACTAAAAGCTCCTCACCAACCAGAGGAGTGATGTCTGTATCCCAGTCTGTCAGTCTCTTCCGACTTAGCAAACACATGGAAAAGTTAAGAGTTAAATTAACATCAATTTTAATACACATACATTTCCAGACTTGGAGGTGGAAATTTATACATTTATAAAGTTGTTCTCAACTCAAGAGCCATCCATCCATCCATTATCTATACACTGCTTAATCTTCACTAGGGTCGTGGGGGGCTGGAGTCTATCCCAGCTGACTTAAGGCGAAGGCAGGGGACACCCTGGACAGGTCGCCAGTCTATCACAGGGCTACACTTAGAGACAGACAACCAAGCACACTCACATTCACACCTACGGACAATTTAGAATCACCAATTAACCTCAACATGTTTTTGGACTGTGTGGAAGGCGGCTGGAGAACCCAGAGAGAACCCACACTGCACAGGGAGAAAATGCAAACTCTGCGCAGAAAGATCTTCACTGGTATGCGAACCGGCGACCTTCTTGCTGCGAGGCAACGATGCTAACCACTGTTGCACCTTGCAGCCCCCAACTCAAGAGCATACATGATAATATAAGCAAAAGGCCTGTTTCAGCCAATACTGGATGATAAACTCATCTCTCTCGTAAGTTACATCATACACATTTAATTTGTATTTATGACATGATGAAATACTGCTTAACATATAATTGCACTAAGTCAGTTAGACAGATTGTTCATATGACCTAAAACACTTCATTTGTACATAAAAACTGGAACAGAGTGTAGAGAAAATGCGTATGTCGTTGTGTCTGCACAACTAAATTAAAGATATCAAAGGTGAATTAGGTGTGCTTGTAAATTACACTGCTCAAAAAAATTAAGGGAAAACTTAATCATCACAGTGTAACAACAACTCATCTAAACTTCTGGGATATCGAGCTATCCAGTGACTGTGAATCCCCGCCTCAGTGGGTGAATAATTTTGGTTTCCACTATCCATTCTCATGTAATTTTGTTCTCAATAAATTATACAGTTTTCCTTTTAAGTGTTCCTTTAAATTTTTTGAGCAGTGTATATTTAATGTTTACAGTTGGTGTTACAATTTCATTTTTTGCCTTTGTTTTCTCTTTAACGAACAAGGTGTTCATCATAGGGAAGGGGTTGCAGTGTTTGGTAAACACACAAAGTGCAGGTCTTTAACACTAAAAGCTGGAGTTTACATACTACACCTTCTATGTGTTTAGGTTTAGGTCACAAGATCCTTTTGCATTATGTTACAGAAAGAAAACACATCATATCACCATTGACTTTGTGATAGTATTTAACTAAGACTTAGCCTTTTTCTCACTTTCCGATACTGTGGATTGCCTATACAATTAAAAAAAAGTTACTCGTGCCTTTATGGGCACAAAAAGATGATGTAGATAAAACATAATATTTAAAAGAATGCACAATACAATACAAAAAACACATAATTTGATGTGTGCAGGCAATATGAAACTTGTGACAACTGTCTGCTGTTGCCTCTCAGTCTTTTATGTAGGCGAAAAAGAATGCAATCCATTATCCCTATATGATGTGGGAGGACATTCAGCAGACAATAATGCAATCTTACCCTTCTAAAAGGCGAAATACAGCACAGCAGTCTTGGCTTAGGCCTCTCACTTTGAGCGCTTTATCTAGACTCTCGTGCACTGTCTGTCCTTGGCGGACATTGACCTGCGAACAGACCCATATTTGAACAAATGTGACTTTGCAATGACATTCATTTGATAGGTACACACAGGTAACATGGAGGCAACCTGACAGTGCTGGTCAGCAAAAATGACAGCCACACATCAGGTTAATATTCACAATACAGATCATCGATGTTGTGACAGAGAACTTTCAGTAAACGAGAACTTCAATCTCGCGTATACATCCCCCCACCCCCAACCTCACCCCTCAAATAACAATGTTACATTCCTTCTCTGACCACAACAAACCTCTTATAGATGACAGTGTAGGATGTCAGTCAGCCTCAGCTGCTGGTTCCATGGTGATATTACCACACAAGACGTTTCATAATTATGTGTGCTTTTCCAACACAGTAATACAAAACAGATTTGGTTCATGCAGTAGTGTCTGTTCATTTTAAATAAAAGCCAACGAGGAAAAAGTAAGAGCTTAGCCAAGGTTTGGTTTGGCAGGACTTTGTTCAGCCAGTACAGTTCTCATGACAAAATTATTATTAGGAAAAAGAATGCTCTTGCATTGCTGTGTCTTTGTTGGATAATAAGACTACATGAAATGATGCTAGTATCTACATATCTATTTAGCAATAACAGGAGGGTACTTCAAAAAGTTCTCAACCTCACAAGAAACAAACTACAAAAGAAAGAATGTTCTTGTGATATTTTTCAACATAGGCTCATTAAACTTTAATGTATTTCATTCATCGGTACTCAAGCTTTGTTATCTTTTTAAGGAAGAAGCTTTTTTCTTTTGACTGCTTCAAACGTTTTTGTGGACAGTAACATAGGTTTTACAGTACACAGTTATGCCCCAAAATGAGAGTTACGTCCCTTGTTTCTGGGTGAGGCCCAGAACCGTTTAAAGTACCCTCGTACATAACACTTCTGCAATGCAGGCACATGACATGAAATCAACGTTGCAAAAAAAGTCAAGTTTTCCTCAAGGGTACAAAAAGTGGACATGTATGTAGGTCTTACAGAGTGTATAGTTGTTCTGCGAGGTAAAGATTGGGCATTAGATATATGGCAATTTCAACAGAGAGATCCACACTGCCATGCACAATAATCACTATCACTGAGGTCACAGTTTAGCACAATGACACCATGACAGGACAATTTAACAGGTAATTTTGTTACTATGAAAACATGACATCGAGGTCTGATAGGACTCTGAAGTCAAATAAAGTGAAGATGGTCACAGGCACCATCTGTGAAACTTCATCCCAACTGTCCACTAGCTGACTCCCTAACATGTTGTGAAAGATGTCAAATTTTGTGTGAGTAATTACACTTACAATGAAAGGTGCAAGAAAATGTTTTCACAGACATGGTAAATGTCAACTGTCACCTTTTAAACAATTCACTGTGGTCACATTTTGAGTTTGCTTAATGTAAAAACTTGTTTCTGTAACAAGACAGTATATTGTTGGTGAAGAGAAGTATAAAGTCAAACATCTTACCACTGTCCTCTGTTTATTGGGGAGGTAGACTCGGATAGTGCCCCCACCTCTGGGTACATCCTCCGGACTGGTCTCCCCTGAGGAGCAGTAGGAGGAGGAGGTGGAGGACATGATGAAAAGGAGGAGGAGCTGAGGGACACAGCACTGAGACACCACAACCTCAGGAGAGCTTCATGCACAGCAGGGACAGAGGAGTTAGCCCTTTACTTAGAACCTGCAACACAAGACACAGATGCACCTTGTTTAAATACAGAGATCTAATGCTACCATGGGCTGAGGGTGTCGATGCCCATCGTAAGAAATTAACTGTAAAAATCCAACCCAATGCACAAAGTCTCTTTCAAGCAATCTTGACAATGTACATGATTTTAAGAACACAGGTTTGAATGACAAACTGCTAAACAACACAAACAAAAGCAATGCAAAGTACTTCAACTGCCATCAAGATTTACAGTGCCACTGTACAGTATATCCATCATGCAAATTTCACATAAGCACAAGTTATGCTGAAAAAGTAAAGCACTGAGATTATTGACCGATTTTAAATCTTGACTTTATAGCGTTAGTGAAATGACTGTGTCTGCTTGGTGTATACATCAAGCTAGCGTCGTGCCAAAAACTCATTTTCTGCCATTACCACCCAGTTTATATCTGTCTAAAGCTACTTTTATCTAGATCAGTCACAATGTGCAAATAATTCAATCTTTTAGTCTGTGGTGACAGCAAAAGGGCATTTGTGAAACTTTAACCTTTCTTGTAACCGAATAACTTTTAACCAAGGAAGTGTTGGCAGTTTATAGCATAATCAGGCACGACATTTAAAATTATACGACAGCTGCAACGATGAATCGGTTAGTTGTCAACTATTAAATTAATCGCTCGTCATTTCAATGCTTGATTCAGAAACACTGACCGATATTTTATAGACATAAAACTAACATTCAAATACAGTGATTCGTCGAGGAAAACAATCAACAGATTAGTTGAAAATAAAAATTATTGTCACTTGATTGTAGGCAAACACATTATTGTTTCTGATGTTCAGGCTGTATGTATTTGATATGTCTAACATTATTGCTTAGACTAATTAATTTGATTTGCAGATGGGTTTTATGTGTAAAACGGAGACATAATCTCTTTCCGATTATCCTGTGGGCTATAATACAAAATCTAACCCTCATGAATGAAATCAAATTATTTTGATGAATTAATAACATTTCAATATAATGTATGGACTGTAGTCACTATTTGGCAAGTGGAGAGTTGCATTTTATGAGTTGACATGGTCCTTTAAAGTTAATAAACCATTAAAATTAGCTGGAATGGTTAATATACAGCGCACAGGGCAGGTCAAATGCTGCAGAAACGTAGGGATAATTGCTCCACGGATGGTAATCAATTTCTGGCAAATTATCACTTTTTAGCACAGCACCCGCTGCACCAAATACACCGTAACAAATCGTCAAGTGTTGTTAGTCATTCTGCTATGGGTAAATTCTCGGTTGCTTTCGAGAAAAAAAAAAAAACCCTGAGTTTTAAATAGTGACTAGCGATAAACCGCAGAACGACACATACCGGTTATGAACGTTAGCTTACATCTGTTTAACTTAGTAGCAACAATACTAATAGTGTTTACACAGAAGAGCACAATACGCATTAACTTACCCTAAATCATATAATCCAACATTTGCCACGCCGAGTATCGAATTTATTCTGAAATGAATTTATTCTGACAGTCAAAGTTCCAAAGCAGCAAACTTGCTAACTACTCCCATGATGCTAATGCTAGCTGCCGTTAGCATAGGATTTGCCTGCTATGCAATATGACATTTCCAGTTTGGGGAGGCCATGTTCCTCGGGGCGCCAGTGAACCGACTATGGCTAACCAGCAAAGTACTTTTTAGAGTAGTTAGTGGCGTGTAAGTAAGACGTGATACAATGGCGACATAATGCCAACGACGCAAAGTTAATAAAGCTTTCGGAAATTCCTGGCAGGTCGACTTGCTAGCTTGCTAGCTAAGTGCTGTCTGGAGCGTGAGAGGAGATTATGTGGCTCCCTCAGTGACTAGCTCACTTTACTGTGAACAGCTTTAATGCTAGTGTTAGCCTGCTAACGTTAGGGGGGGTGAGGGGGGTTACCAGCGCGTCAGCTTGTTGCTACTTCTGTTCTCTTCCCATAAAACAGTGGCTGTTTAACTGACATGCTTCCCACAGCACGATTCTGGTATCGCTGTACATTTGACAAAGTAACATCAAAACCGGATTCCGCAATTAAGCAGTTTGGATAAAAGTGAAACTCTCACCTGTAGCAGCCATCTTGAATTCTCTCAATCTGAAGTCGGATCTGTCAAGAAGTTCGGGGAAAGCGGAAAACCATGATGCTTCGTCTTCATTGGTTCATTTCTGGAGCTGCGCTCTTTCATTGGACAACAGCAGCTGTACATGTTAGAGGTGGGAGCTGTGAGTACACTGTCATGTAAATGAACTACACTGCACGTTTTGCGACAAGAATGTACCAAAGCTATTCCCAATTAAACAAAATAATAAATAGTGTTTGGCATGTTGTGAAGGTGCTGGCTGTTTATGCGAAGCTTGGAGAATGCAGTTTTACACCTTGTGCACCTGCAACATGGAATAACCTGCAGAACTGCCTGAGACTGTACTCATATTTATTCTTATCTGTGTATTTTACTACCAGCTCTTCTTGTTTCAGTTGATTTATTTGTTTTTAAAATGCCAATGCCCTAATTAATATTCCATTACCTTTTATTAACATTGCCTTTCAGTTATCTTTCTTTATTTCTCGTCCAGTGGAACATTTTCAATACTTTAAAAAAAAAAAAAATCCTATTGCTCTTCCAGTTCAACAAAATCTTTTTTCACTGTTTTGTCTTTGCAGCCTTGATGTGCAACAAAATTCTTGTAACACTGCTTTTCTCTTTATAGCTCTTCAAGTGCAAAAACATCATGGATCAGTTTTTTTTAATTGTGTAGCTCAACAACAAAATATAGCAGTTCTCTTCATGTGCAATAACATCATGTCTTTTTTGTCAAGAATTTTTTGACTTCAATAACAGAAACGCAGCTCTACTCTGCTGTATAAAAGTACAGTTCTATACACAGTGCATCCTTTATTTGGATAAATAACGTCCTTCCATATCTGTACATATCTATATGTAAATTCATCACGTCTCATCTGTACATGTGGAAGGTGTACATTGTGTTTATTGTATTTCTTGTCCTGCTTTGTCCATGTTTCATGGATCTAGCTCCTGGAACATGTACATTCCCCCATTGTAGGATCAATAAAGTTTGTCATCAGTATTGTTACCTACATTTCTTGTGTGGCCCCATCTTTTATCTTGTTCCTCTGCTACACTGTCAATGACGTCTTTATGTACTTCCAGTTTTAAAAAAAAATTGAATGAATGAATATGAAAACAGATTTAGATTTCTATTCATATACTTACACTGTTCATAATCTTACACTATGCTTTTTTTTTTTTTTTTGTATCTTGGACATGTGGACAGTTGTTATTCACTATGGGCCAGATAAAACACCATGGAACCAACGAAGATCAGAATAGACAAATTTTATTACAAAATAGCATAACAGTTGTTACAAACTCCATACAGTATGCATTCGGTCTTTGTTACTAATTGTGTGGTACAGACGATTCTCATCTCATTGAGAATTGTCAGGAAAAGAATTGGTGAAAAGGTGGTACCAGTTAGCTGCAGGATAAAAGAGAGAAACCTTCATGACATTCTAAAATCTGACTTTGGGCTCAACATAGGTACTTCGTAACGCATTGATCTTGTGTCATAGTACACCCTTCTGATCACACGTTCTTCTCACATTTGTTAAACTCCTCTGACAAAACCTCACTTGTCATTTTACATCCGCAACATTTTGAGACTTCCTGCAGTTCAGAACAACACAGTTTTTGACAATTGTCCAGTTACACTTTACAGTTGTTGTCTTGATTCCTATTGCACACTGAGGAACCTCCTTTTCTTCGATGTGTTTGTATATGCATGGTGACGCCACTCGACATCTGCGGTGCTCTCATTCTCCAGGGTGCCCAGTTTGATCATGTACACTAAACAGAAGAACACATGTAGTCCTAAGTTAATATGACATCCTTAATATATTTTTCATTTCAGCTCTTATTGTAGAGTGGCTCATTAGCACTGCCATTTTACACATTACTCCCACAGTGTTGTTATTATATCAGCTAAGGTCTCTAATAGCTATCATGATCTTCCAGTGGGTTTCACTGTTTTTTTTTTTAAGTAAGAGTCTCTGGACTAGGTGAATCTATACTTACATTTCATTTCAAACCTGGGTCCTACTTCTGTCAGCTCTACATTCTTGTGGTCTGTTTTCTTGTAGGTGTGATGTCTGTAAAAAATAAAAATAAAAAAACATTTAAAAAAAAGGAAAAAAAAAACAAAAACAATTAATCTTAGTACTTTTTGCCCCAAATGACAAAACCTATTTATGTGACATTTACTCTGAGGGAGTGCTTTAAAACTGACCTAAAAGAGATGAAGTCCTCTTGGTTGGCGAATGTGATCACACGTCTACTGTCCTCCTTCGGCACTGGAAAAAGATACTTGAGGATATTTGATACCTGTGCGAGGAGAATTAATTAGTTGTACGCAAAGTGGTGAAAGAGAATATCAATGCCATGTGTACGATGCAAGGTCTAGCACTCGCGTACTCACTCTCTTGCCAAGCCGTGAGGAGAAGTTGTGAAAAATGAGGTGGGGGTATGCCTCAGACATAGTGCCTATGTCTGGAACATCGTGCCTCATTACCACGTTGTAAAGTGTGAAATAAGCTGTGGGTCCAAATGGCAAGTGGCACACCACCAGGCCATCTGTAAACATACAGGAACAAAAGAGTTAATCAATCAGAACTCTGTGTTGTCTTTCTGTACGTAATGTAATTCACTTTCACTTTACACAGTAGGTTTAAATTTACATGTTTACATTGTTTTTGAGTGGTAGTGGCATGGCAGTAAAGATAAGGACACACGAGCTGTAAACTGCAATTGCCAGGACGTGCGAAAACTCCCTCATCAGGTAAAATGGCTGCAAACCAACCACCAGCAGTTCAACATCCCTTGTGCAGCGCTGCTCTTTTAACGCCAGCAGTACACCATCTCTCTTGAGTCCCCTGCCTTTCTTCTTACTACTCTCCCTCAAGCTCCGGTCCGCTCTGACCAGGTGAAATCCGTCCAAAGATACGAGCAAGTCTGAAGTGAGTTCGTTCAGCCATGACTCCGTAAACAACATGAACAACAACAAGAAATGTCACCCTGATCCCAAAATGTTAACTAGCATTTAGAACAGGAGTAAGGCTTCTGCCATACCACAGTCATTCGAGGCAAATCTCGTCACTCAGCAGCCATCCTGGTACAAACAGCGGGTCGCTATTTTCTACTTCTAAAACCAGGTCTCTATCTAAACGAACTGGGAGAGAGTCAAAAGTGCAATTTCAACGGTCACCAGGACATTAAGACTGCATGTCCGATGTGTATCTCCCTTGACATGTCACTACATGTGCAGTGAAGCAGAACACAACTGTGATTAGTCTGCTTGAAAGTAACTGATTTTTGCTAAAATAATGCTGTGAAACAAAATGTAATGTATTATATGCTGTAATTGTATCTGTCTTGCTAATGAAGCAACCATAAGAGCCAGTATTGTCACTGTAGACTTTTCTTCTTCTCGTAGCTTCATCAATCTGTAAATAGATTTAATCAGTTTTGACGTCTTTTTTCTTTTTTCTGTTGCAGTAATTTTAATGAAAGTAACTGTTGATCAACATATATTAGTTGCAAATCCAACATGATGCGCTCTGTCTTAGTTGTCATAGTTCAAAGAGCACAAAGAAACTCAACAGAACAGCAAAGAAACCAACTAGCTAGTTTTTGTTGTTGTCGAGCGATTGACACACCAGCACAGTACATATGGATATTGTACACTGTTACAGCACAGACTATGTGTAGATTCAACCCAGGAGTATAAATCAAGTTTAATCCACAGACTTCTGCTTGTACCAACAGAAAAAAAGTTGCAATATGTTTGCTGACACACATTACTCATACTGTAAGGTTGAAATGCCACTGCCAGAACTTCACATAAGTTTGTCCAAACAACAATAAATTACTTCAGCATTATCCTTGGTGCTTATACCTATCCTTATCACCATCCACATTTTAATGTAATTGTTTGTAGTTATGAGCAGCTGCCATATTTCCCTTTGTGTATATAACTGCAGGTCAACAAAGTACCATCAAGTGGTGGCAGTACACTTGGATTAATGCCAATGCACTAACAAAGGACACATAGAGGAAGAGTGCAGGCTCGCAAACATGCAGTAAATGTAAACCCTGGATGTATTAATAGACCTGGATATGACACCATCACTCAGTCTTGCTACCAGTTTGTACCAGTGATCACTCACAACAGGAAAAATCACTTTTCAAGTCACTAAATCACTAACCAAGTGATGGGGCGTCATTGCTGAGCCCAGTATCCATTTCTTCTTAACACATGCATGATGTAAACACCTGGGCTCAAAATTTTCAAAATAAATGTTTAATGTTTTATGAGGAAGGAAATTAATTCAGGAAATTTGTCAGAACTCAAGGATACACCCAGTCTGTTCTACTTTTGCTGAATGTAAATTAGAAGCCTGCTTGTTTACGACAACCCTTCGAAAGCAGCTTTAAATTCCACACAGTGTATCCTAAAAACCTCTCAAGCACCAAATAATAAAATACCTATATGTGGTCTGAAACTGAGGCACTGCAGGTGGTTGCTTTGTTAAGTTAATGTAGTTCCTGTAAACACCTCTTGACAGGCAAAGTAACAGAGACCAATCAAATGTCATAAATAAGAAAAAAATCAAAAGTACAGACTGAAGAATGCTACCATACCTGGCTGTCCTCTTGTTTCATGTACAATGACGAGATCTGTAACATTGTTGGCTTTGCATGCTCGCACCAGAGCAGCAATCTCGTGGTTTCCTCTGTTCATGCGCTGAGCTCCAGGGAACATCAGCTTTACCTCCTGGAACAGGAAACATAGATCACGTTTTTCTCTGCTCTACGTTAAGTTATTCTAGTAAGTAAGCTGTTTGAGGACTGCCACTCCATCAGTCTCTAAACCCCAAGTTGTTCTCAATTTGCAGGTCTGCACCGTGCATGAGAAGAAAATGGAGGCAAAAATTCTAAAGCACTCTGTCTGTTGAGGCAATATTACAAAAAAAAAATTACCACTAACCAAAGCCTTCAGAAATCATCAAAAGAATTACTGTAGAAGATACAGTATGTGGCCAAAAGTAGGAAAAGCATGTCAATCAAAATCAGGACCACAGTCAGTTTTATTGCCAAGTAGCTTTTCCCATACGAGGAATTGAATGTAGTGGTTTAGTGCATAACATTAAAGGGTAACAAGTAGAACATTTTTAAAGAACAAATATTTTTAAAAGCAAGTGTTGCAAGTCAGTAGACAGCAAGTTTAACAAATCTGAGGGAATATAAGTAACAAAAACTAATAAAAGTATTTACAGTGTGCAGGAATGTGGAAATTATTCTCCTGAGAATGTGCAAAATTACATATTACATTGTGTAAACAGCTTAAGATGTGCAAAATATAATAACCCTATTTAAAAAGCTGTGCAGTAGTGTCATGCAAAAACAGGTTTAATGTTGTAAAAACAAAAAGGGAAATGTGTCATTCAAGTAGCTCAGTGTTATGTTCTATTACTAAAAAATAATATTTGATAAAGCAGAACTTCATCTGTAACTGTGAGGCAACTGTGACAGTTTAAAGATTGTGACAGACTGCAACATGTAAATGCAGGACTATCCATCTGTGCTGCCTGTCATGAAGTGAGTCTAAGTTGTTTCCCTTTTTCTGACCAATACCAAATGCATTCTGGGATAGGCCATCTGAGGCACTGAACATGTAGAAAAAAAAAAGTCAACTGTTGTCGATTTAAAGGGCACAGTAACCTTCACAAACTTTTGAAGTCTTTCATTAAAAAGTATGTTATTATTTATTACATTCTGAACTAAAGCTTAATTTTTCTAGGAGATATACACTTTTGTACTATTTATTTGTTTTTCCCTAAAAAGAGTACATTTAACAGGAGTACATAAGTCCTTGCACTCCATATACCTTTAATTGCCTGCGTACCTGTAGACAAATTTCAAATTTGCATATTCATTTGCAGTTCTTATAATGTGTACGATATGTTACATTATACTTGGATGTGCAAAATCTGAACACTATTTCAATTTTCTGTACAATCTGTACTAAAATACACGCACTGCCCACCATAACGTTTTGTTCTCATGTATGTTAATAGGGAAATATCTTATGTAGTCCTGTGCAGCGTCACCACCCATTAAAACTTCAGTAATAAACAAAGTAAAATGATCAGCTTTTGGACATGGCCAAAAACTGAAAATGAAGAAGCTTTGTGAAAGTAGAACTTATGGCAGAGCTGTTGTATTGGATTGCAGTACTTTTCACAGATGTGTAATAGTTCTTTTAAAGAAAATCCAAGAAAATTATTGGAAAATTGGTGTGAAAGAAGTGCACATGCCCATAAATCAGTGGTATCATAAATGTTTAACACTGATCATAACTTCTGTATTTCTGCAACTGTTTACCTCTGCACCTCATCATAAGAATTAGTCAAGAACTGCCTGCAGCTGGAGTTTCACTGCCCTACTCAGAGACAACTAAACAATGAGCTGTAAGTGATATGTGGACCATCGAGTAGCTTATTTACATCTGGCCTACAGTATGTCTCTGTAGCCAGCTGAGCAACCTCGAAGTCCGACTGCCATCCAAACCAAGTGATTCACCCCAAACAAGCTGGCCTGACCTTGGCAAACATTTTGAGTCTGGAGCTCGGGTCTCTGGATGTTGTGACCATGACTTTAGGATCTTCCACTCCGGCCCATTTATACTCATCGTCCACGTGAGAGCTGACGCCTGCACACACAGAGCCCCTGATGATTAAACAAAATGGCTATGGACACTGATAGAATACTGCTGACAGTAGGAATAACCGACACTTGCCTTCTGCCCCTTCATCATCATATTCCAGTAGTTTCTGTAGCTGCAGAGCTTCTTTGCGCACCTCAGTCGGAAGGAGACGATTTTCTGCAGAGAAGAAAAATCAGCACGAGTAATAGCAGCATTTGGGGCAAACTACAGGTCGACCAATGTGTTTTTTTCAAGGCTGAGACTGATATCAATTTGAGTCAAGACCACATTGATATTTAGCACAGATATAGAGTTGAAAATTGAACTGATCAATGTAAATAAGAATCTTGGTACCTATATTTAAAAACACAAACTCCAACACATAAATGCACTGAAATGCCTTTATTTGTGTTTTTCATATGTTTAATTAATAGAGAACTTTCAATGAAAGGCTATTATTTGTTAAGTGTAACCAATCAGATTGTGCTGTGGATGGGACATTACAAAATCACAGTAATGACAACTGACGGGGAGAGGTGGTTGCATCAGAGCCCAAACAGTGCATTTTTACATAAAATATATCTTATCAATGATTGATTTAAAACAAACAAACAAACAAAAAAACAGTATTGATAAATGGAAAAAATGCTGAATATCGGATCAAATAATCAGCGAGGTCATTAATCTGTCAAACATGAGGTAGGATCATTTAGAGCGCTGACCACCTGTCATATAAAATGCAGCAGGAAAAAAAACAATCTACAGTTCCCTCCTACCATCAAGTGCGCCCTTCAGCTTCTGTTTCTTCTCCTCTATTGTTCGGAGTCTGTCCTCTTGTGCCTTCCTGTACAGGTACTCCCGCCTCAGTCTCACCTCTCGACGAAGCTGGAACAACACAAAACCAAATCCCTTTAAACAATGAGGTGCAGGCTCATAACAGACTGGGGGTCGGCTGATATGCTTTTTTTTTTCAGAAGCAGTAGCGATTATCAGTAATCAGAGATCGATAACTGTTATTTGGAACACATATATTTGCTTCTTGATGCCAAAATTTCCAATAAGACACACACTCATCCTGGTGATTCCTTATAGACACATTAAATAGCATGTAAAATATATTAAACACTTCATGCAACTGGGTTCCATCAGGAATCAGCCACTGATATACATGTAGAACGGCAATATTTAAACTGTTTGTTGCTTCTGGCCATTTGGAGAAGTCTCACTTCTGAATTTAGTAAATAACTGCAGCATCAGACAGCAGCAGGATCCATATGAGCATCTCCAAAGAGAGAGAGCGGGGCATTTAAGCACAACACAATGTTAACTTCATTTCTAATTATAAAATATCCATGTAGACAGGATCGGTCAGAATCTAACAGTATATTATATACTGTACTTTTTACCTCAGTTAGGTGAGTTAACACACACAATCACAGTGAAGTTAAACCAGTCCTGAATACTGAGCACCATCACTGCTCATTATTATTTTACTGTAAAAGTCTAATTATTACTCGGTCATATCACGTTTTTCTCAAGTTTTATAATACCGACATAGTTGTCAACTAGCTTTTATACTACAACAGTGAAACAGAAATTCAGTCATGGCTTTAGTTATTTTTTCTTTGTGCCACCCCAAGATTTTCAGTGGCCTTATATTTCCAACCTGTAAAACATTTCTGGATGCGCCCTCGTTTCTAAAAGCAACGACTCTTGTTTTCGGTCTAGATGATTTGTAAACAAGAAGAAACACGAGAGACGACTTTATTTATTTTTTATCATTAGGTGGACGGAACATTTATCTATTCATACGGTTGGCGGAGTCTTTAGAGGTTAGAGAAACGAACGACCTGTTTGGTTTTTGATGAACTACTACAGTAAAAACAGTGGCTAGCTCCGAGACCCAGATGTGAGTGAACACACGAGGAGAAACAAACTCACAGCAGAGCAACAAGCACCGAGCAGCAGCTCAGCGAAGCCCACAGCGTTCATTCACACACAAAACCAAAGGACTTCATGCTCAAAGAAATGCTGGAATATTTCACTTACCATGATGATTATTTAGCTTGTAGCTAACTAGAGGCTCACGTGGAGAGAGGAGGATGACGTAGGAAAGAGAACTCCTCTCATTGGCTGACAAAGGAACCACTCAGGACGCTTGATACTCACCGACAAACCTTTCCAAAATAAAAGCACAAAAAAAATCCACCTTCTGCTCGTGTGCAGGGGCAGAGCCAAGAGGGTGCCAACAGACCACACTCTGGCCACCCCACACAACTAAAAGTGAATTACAGAGTTACGCACAGACGAACAGAACTGGCATTACATCCACAAACTATTTTTCACTCAAGAACTTTATTGCTGAACTATTTTTCAACAGCTGTTGTTCCCATACAAATGAATTTTAAAATCATACACTCAGCCTCCTTTCTGCCACATGTAACAAGGTAGTTCTGATCAACCAGAAAATGGTTATGCTGATTTTGTAGCATTTCAAAGATTTTGTCACTGAATACTGTGCAGACAGTATAAAACTCATCTGATTTTCACATGTGAATTACTAACGTGTTTGTATGTGGTTTTATTAGTTCAGTGTGTATGACTTTGGTATAGGTGTGGATTCATGCTGAAGCTCTTGTACAGACTCTTTCATTTCGTTTTCATTTTTATTTATTTATTCATCCATGTTTTTAGCTTTTTTTTTTGTTGTTTTTTTAGTTAGTTTTTTTTTTTTTTTTTTTACATATCCATTGTATTGTACATAACAACATGAAAACATGGCAGAACAGGAGCACAAGGAAGGCAAGTCTTACAAAACGTGCCCCTATAACAAAGAAGACATAAACGAAACATAGATGGCCTTCAGTCAGTATTTACTCTTAAAGACTGTGGGGATTAAATCTATGTTGATGAACTCTGGAAACATAATGCTGAACAATGTAACACTGACCCAGACCCTGCAGCCACAAGAAAGACACAAAAGGCTGAATGGACACAGTTTAACATTTGCATGTCCACCAATCCATCATCCATCCATCCATTATCTATACACCACTTAATCCTCAGAGACAGACAATCAAGCACACTCACATTCACACCTACGTACAATTTAGAATCACCAATTAACCTCAACATGTTTTTGGACTGTGTGGGAGGAAGCTGGAGAACCCAGAGAGAACCCACACTGCACAGGGAGAACATGCAAACTCCAGAAAAATCCTGGGCATCCTAACCAGGGATCTTACAGCTGCAAGGCAACAATGCTTACCACCAATCCACCTTGCATTAAATTAAATGGCAATTATGAGGTTTATCAATTGTGTGCAAAGCTCATTACACTATATTCAGTTTCTCATAGTGTACTTCTACATGGCAGTCTTGCCTGTGTAAGCAAATGAAAAGAGTGAGTTACCAAAAATCATTTTAAAAGAAAGACTATTCAGCCTAGCGTTTCAGTGTTTCATGCTACCCCCATGTGAGGAACGGTCTCAGCACGACCACCCTTATAAAAACTATCTGGATCCACTACTCCCAGTGTTGAGCCATATTGGCTTCAAACAGGCACCAAAAAACATCCACCTTTCAAACTGTTTATTACAAAGATGAGTTTGGATAAGGTGTAAGTTATTTGACCAGTTCTTTTCTAGATAAGGGGAGGCTATGCTCTGATGTACTTCAGCATTGAGACAAATAACCACATCCTCGTGGGTAGACATTTCCTGAAGCTCAGTCACCTTAAATAGGCCTTCTCTTCCTCTTTACCTTATGAGCAAGAGAACATTCAAGCTTGGACGATGTACACTCTAATTCTACTATTGCTTTTGGCTACAGGTAAGCCAACAGATGGGTTTTACAGAGAACTTAAATTGAGATCATCCCATATAGAGTATAGTGGTTTAACAGCTTACTAAAACATGACTGTATGCAGGTGACAAAGGTGAAGCAGTTCATTGGCAACAGCTGACATGTCCCTATGAAGAAAATCACGCTGGCCTGCCGAGGGTTTGGTGCCGGCAGAGCTCTGCCGTGTGCTGCACTGGCCTCGCCTTCAGCCCAGATGCTCACTTAGTGGATGAAGGCAAACTGAAGGTGACCGAGGACTCGCACTCTTTCACCGTGGAGCTGCTGGAGCCGAGCAGCAGAGAAGGAGTGTACTGGTGTGGTGTGCTGGGCAGAAATGACACCATCATAAAGCTGGCTAAAGGCTACTTCTACAGCTGTAAGTAAAGGAAAATACTGTTACAAAAAAACAAACAATATTTTCATTATTCTAAAAAGTCATATTCTATGGCATCATCATATGTAGATAAATTGTACATTTTTACAAGTATAATAATGTTTTTGTGATAATCCAGATCTTTAAAACATGTATTCCCAGTTGATTTTTACTCAGGATCCTAAGACCTGATCACAGAGCCAAACTGTGCACTAAAATTTCGAAACTAACTCAAAAATATGTGACTGGATTATTTTACTTAGGGGCCAAGATTTTTTGCTGTGCCCCCTAAGGACTCCTATTGGGATTTTTAGGTTCAATATAAATTTATTAATTGCTTGGTTTATATATTTGAAATTTTTTTTCTTTTTAAATGCAAAAAGAAAATCCTTGGTACCAGCTTTTCAAAAGTCAAAACATATTAGTTTCAATGATAGCAAACTTGTTAGTTTTAGATTTTCCACTGCTTGTAACACAGAAATTAAGCAATTTCAACACGTTAATTTGGATTTTGTGATGTTTTGTACACTGATCAACCGATTGATCGCTAAAGAAAGTAATTGTCAGATTTAATATTAAAAAGAACTGTGGGTTGTTTGCTGTAACAAAATAACACAACCAAGGCTTTCTTTGTGTTAATTATATTTTTGATCACCAACTAAGCAAAGTAAACATCTCCCAGTTCAGGTAAATGCTAGAAAAACTCTATTGTCTATTTTTGATCACTGTTTTAGTTTTCTGTTTGACAGTTTTGGTCACAGCTTAAATTGTTTGCTTTCAAAAAAGCTCTGATAAACCCTCTGTATACTATGATATTGTGGCAAAAATCCAGAAAATATAATTATTACTTTTACAACTTCATGTAATAACTGACATTAACACACATACATGCAATTGGCATTGCATTGTTTATAGTTCCTTCAATCAAAACTCTCCATGTGTGACAGTAAGCGTCTATGTGAAGTACGCATTAACTAGGTTTTTCCGGATTTTTTTTTTTTTTTTCATTAACTAGGTTTTTCCGGATTTTTTTTTTTTTTACTTGAGGTTGATGCTGAAAAATTAAGCAACAGAAAAAAATGAACATCAAACTTTCTGTAGAGCTGAGAGAAACTGTTCTTGAACATTTTCTCTTGTTATGTTACTACAAATAAAACTGTTCATATTATATTTTGCAACTTGTGTTTAGATGTTATAAAAATATCAGTACGCCTTAAGTCAAGCTAATTATTGTAAATACATGCGTAAAATATGAACGTCTGCTGCAATATCATAAGTGTATTACAGAACAGTGTAACAATCATAATGTTCAGAGAATCATGATCAGCTCAAACACACCTAACTGTTTTCATACTTCCTGTGCATGGCCAAGTCAAACTATACATGTGTTTCTTTGCCACACTGCAGCCGCAGTTTTATACATCTGGAGTTTCACTCGTTGGATCCTGCTGTTTCTGCTGCCCACAGTCACCACATCCACCTACCTCTACTCCAGAAGTAAGCTGTGTCTCTTCTCCATTCACACAGGCACACATTTACAACATCATTTTAGGCTATCAGAGGGTCAAAATTATACACAGTGTAAACAGCTATGCAGCTCGACATCGGCAGAGAGCAGCAACAGGAAACGGAGAATAAATGGGTTTGAGGTTTGAAGGTTTTCAGCCAAACTTACAGACAGATATAGTTCATCAGAGGTAGCTAACCTAGCTGACGTGGAGTCATGTACAGTTTGCTTTTTTACCTCTATTTTCTATTTCTTGTCATTCTGTTCTAAAAACAACAACAACAACAAAAACACACATTTCCACAATATTTTTTATAATGAGGCAAGACATGTAGAAGTCATTTCAGCTCTTTACACAGTTTTGACCGACCATGTAGTAGTTTGCAGTTGCCGACAAATGTTTTTCTGCCAAGAATGGTTGTGGATAGAGAAAAATAAAGACACTGAAGTATTAAACATAGACAGCTATGCAGATTATAATAAATATATCTCAATGATTAAATAATGAGTTAATTTTATTTTGGATGAGTGCCTTACTATTAAGGAGGGTATTAGAGTTCTGGTTAATTTAGCAGGTACTGCTCAGGGCTACAACTAAACATTCTGAGTTTTTAGTATTTTTGTAGTCTTCCTGTTTCAGATTATCTGGTATTTCAGGATTCAGTGAACAAGTGGCTTGTAACGTTGTATATTTCAGTTAAAGTACATCACTTTTGGGGATTCACAAACTTGCACAAGTAGTAATGTGGAATGAAAACCTCCAAATGTGCTTCTACAGGAACAGCAGGTCACACTTGAAGACAAGAACAAGTCTGATGTAAAAGAGTAGAGTGGAGCCTCATAGGAAGCTGAATTTTATCGTAAAAATAATCCTAATTAACAGTTTAATAGTCAGCGATCTCTGTGTGCACTGTTGTGTTCAGGTCCATCACATCAGCTATAGAAACAGACAAGTTTAATGGTCTCCTCGAACTCAGAGGACTGTTGAACTGAGACTGAAGTCCATTTGCTGTTTCATTGATCATGAAATGATTATTTAAAGGCAACATCACATCGGGAAAATGTCCTTAATTTCTTAAAACTTAAAACTTAAGTTCTTTGTTAGTGATGTATTTAGTTTTGTTTTTGTTTGTGTTTGAGAAATGTATCTCTGCAGCAACTGTATATTCTGGTGTCTGGTAAGTCTAGATGGGTTGGACGCAATAACTCTGATCCATTCACATGATGAGGACATAAATGAGACTCTCTAATCTTTCTGTTCCAGGAATAACCAGACGTTCTCTCAAGGTAAAACACTGCCCATTCTTTATTCTAAGAAAACATGAACTGTTTCATTCATGCATTGTTAAAAACGTAGTGAGTTTTTATTACTCCTTAATAAAACAATTTATCCAACAGTTGTGAATTAAAATGCACTTCTGGGCAAAATGCTGCAGGTGAATAGGATCAACATTTCCCCCAACAGACAGCACTATGAAACGTCCCCAGTTGAGTGCTTAGATTAAATATTACTTTTTGTATCACAAATTTTAGGAAACTTTAAGCTGAAATATGCAGAGAAGTTATTATCTAGTTAAAAATGCATGAATCAGGATCAATTTACAGAACAAAAAACTGAACAATGAACTAAGTCAACTTCAAGAATTTATGTTTTATTTTGCTGCTATAATAAAGCTACATGTTTTTTCCAGAGGGGATTATGGATGTCTCTTTTTTATCACTCTGTCAACAACCACAATCAAATCAAATATTACCATGTTTCTCTAATGTGCAGTGCACACAATAATTCAGTTTTCTTTTTAAAATGTTGTCAAATAATAAACATATACAATATTTAATAATGTTTTTTTTACTAAATGGCACAACAGCCCCGATGAGCAGAAGATAACCACTGATGCATGATTGTCCACTACAGTGGACAGTTACATTTTTACTCAATATTATATGATTTATTTTAATCTAATATTATTTGTACCTGTGTGTTGATTGTACAATAAAAGGTTCAACACATATTCCACAGCTGATCTGATCATTTCCACCACCATCTACAGCTTTGGATTAATGATGCAATATTTAGGAGGAAAAAAAAAATATATAGACAATAATCCTGTGGAAATATACAGAGAAGGAATAGAAGATTATTCCCTGCTGGTCTGGAGTAATTATTGTCAATAATGTGGAAGTGTGAATGGCTGTCGACTGAAGTGGTCACAATGCAGGAAGGGCACAAAGTTTTATACATTCCAGCATCAGGGATGCTCACAGGTGTTTGTCTTTTCTTCTCCAGAAAGCAGAGGCGCTTTATGATGACGTTGGTGTGAGCAGACCTCTGGATGATCCACAGGACAGAAGCACAACATCTTTCCTTCTGCAGGAGTGATGAGGGGAGTTTTGCACTCTGGTGGCAAAAAACCCAAGGCATGGTGTTTTTCAGATTGATCAAAAGCTTAAAAAAAAAAAAAGACACATGATTTTTTTTATTTTTTATGAAGAAATAAGTTTGCATTTATTGGACAAACCAAACATAGGCAAACTCACACATAGTTTAAAGATGGAACATGTCATGGGGTGAAAAATAAATGAAGGGTCTCATTCCAAAATGTGATACATCCATTTGGAAAAAAATACCTGAAAACACAATATTTCTAAAGTGCGTCTCATTCTCAGAAATAGGATTACTTCAGTCAGCAGAATTATATCAACGTCCCCTCCTGGATCTTTTCTTTATTCTATAAACTTATACTATTTCAGAGACATTGTTTCCACATGGTGTACGTAACATTTTGGAACAAAGATCTTCAAATATATATTTATTTATATACTTTATACATTCTTTTCTTGCTGTACATTTAAGTCTCATGCTTTGCTTGAAACTGTGCTGTCAGCATTTATCCTCAATCACAGGACAAAAGACAGAAAAAGAAGAGCATACAGTATTCAGGATCAATGCTGCATAGTTTCAACTTTGGAATATCAAACATTATTTCTTTGTAAACCAACAGAGTGGAACTATCTGTGTGTGGGAGATGAAAAACTGTATGAAATCTGTCAGTTGTCAAAACATGTCTAAAAATACACATCGTTTGTTTTGCCTCGCTGCCAGTTATGGAAGATGCTGCACGTCATGTCCGTTTATCAAGAGCAGGCAAATCGAGGCATTTAGACCAAAGAAATACCACAGTCGAGCAGTTCATATGAACACGTATACTTCCTTAAAAAGCTGTGGAAGTAAACCGCTGGATTGCGTACTAAAGGAGAAAGTCCCAAAATATGAACAGCTGTGACCCATAAAAAGCTGCATGATGCCTGTGAGGACAGTCTGAGCACAAAAATCACTCAAACAAAACCCTGACATTTTGAAACAAAACAAAAAAACAGAAGCAATAAATAACGCAAGGACAAAACAATGAGAAAATCACGTAATTTTTGCACGTACAGAGAAATATGAACATCACACTCCTTTAGAGGAACTGCTGTCCAATTACAAACAAAAGCAAAAGACAAATAAATGTACTGATTCACAGCAATCTTATAACAGGCTTTAAGGATGATACAGATCCACCAATGAAAGGCTAAGACACCATTCTAAACCCAAACAAGCTACCTTACTTCTAACTGTTTACAGTAAGAACACTTAAAATGGTTCATGGGGCCAACTGCATATCATTCCCTTGTAGTAAATTCCATTAAGGCAATTGCAGAAAACATGAAGAGAATTACTTGTATGTAGCCTATAAGGTGCAGCAGAGAAAGCAAGGTGTTAAGGGGGCAGGAAATTCAGAGTTGCAGCTGTTTTAATCAGTGGGTGAAGCCATTAAATCACAAGTTCACTGCCAAAGCAGCTTCAGGAGATGCCAGAAGCAAACACCAGGCTTCTTGGCTGTTGTCAGTTTCACACCAAGACTACGTCCATGCTAAGCCGCTATTTTTTTTTTACAATGCTGTGAAAACTATTAGAGTTTTAGTTAAGATCAGGAAAACGGCTACTTGGTGGTTATCAGATTGCACAATATTTCTGTCTTTAGAGATGGGTCACTGCCAGCTTTGACAGTCATAAATTCATTCTGATGGATTTATGACTGAGCACATGAACAGAGTTATGTAGAGATCAGTGAGGAATCAGGGAGATTCACTCCTTCTGACAGCACCAACAACCAGCATTTTCCTATCTGTATGTAAACACTGTTTTATGAATTATAGTGAACCTTGAACAGGCAGTGTCTCTTTCCTCCCCAGTCAGATGAACAAAGGTGACTGTTTTTTTTGTTCTGTTATTTTTTATTGTATTTTTTTTTATGAGACAAAAATCAACATGTGTGAAGTATCTGGTATGGTTGGAGACACCGAGCCGAGTGATCCTGTGAGTCTCCTGCTCTCTTTTATCACCTATAACGCCATGGCCTTATTTACACCTGTTAAAACGTGACCTATATATGTACTGTGATTAGATCCCAGGGTGCAAATTTGTTGGTTAGTGGACTTGTAAACAAAGAGGGAGCAGATAGGGCAAGAGAACCAGAGCCATGGTTGAGTATCTTTCATTTTTAAATTACCTCAAGTAACAGGAAGACTTAGCTTTTGCTGAGCTTGCTCGAGTTATCAGGAAATGACAGTGATTCCAAGTTCCGACTACATGATCGTGTCTGATAAGATGGTTACGAACTGGTTTCCATTCTGACCCAACATTCCTCTGCACGGTTACATTCATGCATTGCAAGTGTCATGCATGAACATAAACAAGCTTGAGCCCCAGAGAGCTCACAAACAGATGACAGCTCATTTCATACCACAGACTGCGACGGTCAACATTTTAGGCGAATTTTTATGACAAAGTAGCACGTCCCAACTGTAAGCACGAAACAGCACATACTTTGTAACAAATAACCCCAAGGGAGTGTAAAAAGTTTTGTAAGTTTTGCTTTTTCCATGCACGTTTTTTCTGATGTGCTACTTTAAAATGCACATAAAATACAGTCTGATAACTGTATCATATTAGCTGACTGTAGACTCAAAGTCCTGCCAAACTTTAAACTTTGCCAAGAAACAAAACAGACCACACACTGGTCCACAACTAAGGTAACATGCAGGTTTTGACAACTTGCATGATGTCATTTAGGAAGCAGGTACAATGAAACAAACTTCCAGAAACAAGATTGTAAACAATGACATTCAATGCTGTGTGTATATCGTAATGACTATGTAATTAAAAAAAAAAAAAAGAAAAAAGAAAGCTATGGGCCTGTCCATGGATGACAGTTTGAGTTGTCTAGTCCTTTAGCTGATCTTATGTTGGCAGATGAAGTAGGTGATGGCTAATTTCTTTGTTGGGACATCCTGAACTGTGGCATCAGTTGTCATCCACCATGATGCACTATACAGAAACAAAACATGACTGTTGTGACTGACACCTTGTGGGGCTTGATATCATGTAGCCTGAGCACTAAATAATTTTGTAACTCCCAATAACATGTTTTTTTTATACCTATATATGGATCACAGCCTAATTCATGGTTGAATTTTTTTTAAAGATTTCCTGTTCACTTTAAGAAGTCAACAGGAAATATGAGACAAGAGAAGCCAGTTGGAATCAAACAGAAGACGTTGCAGTTATGTGGCATGCACTGTAACTATTTGGCTAGCAAAGTGGTCCTGTAAGTGAGATTTTTAATACAGACAAGCTCATAATTTAGTTGTTCTTACATGCAGTGTAAGACAGCAATATGTTCATGGCTCTAGAAAGTATGGGTCGACCACGCGTCGGCATGGCTGATTATCAGAGTCAGTACTTTGTATTTTCCAGCTCATCAGTGTCATTATCTTTGCAACCGATTTCTGATAACAAATGAGTTTAAAAACGTGCTATGTTGGTTCTGATGCTCTCTGAGTGTAGTCACTCTGTGGTCTCGAGCAATGTTCCACCCACACCTGTGATTGGTTACAAGCCACAACTAAGAGCCTGTCAATACTGAAGGATCTCTTATCGAATCATAAGTAAAGAAACAAAGGCGTTTTAATGATGTTTTGTGTTCCAGTTTGTGATATTTTCAATTTTGACAGCAGGATTTAAAATTTTACAGCTACATTTTTGATATCAGTTATTGGTCTCCTGTGCTAAAATCAGACCTGAAAAAAACATACTGGTTGATATCTAATAGAAAGCTACCCAACAGGTTCTGCTGTGTTGAAAAGGTGGTTAAATGACCATTTTCTGACAACGCAGTTATCTAACCATAGTCAGCATAAATATAGTCTAATGATAACCACTGTAAAGTGTGATTGGCTACAGTGGCATTTAAAAAAAAATGTGATGACTGCAAGATATGGAACAACTCTAGGGAGTGTTAGGTCAGCTCTGGAGTAGGACCAACTGGTCAACAGTAGATAAAGAACCGACAGAAAGGAAAAAGATGGACTGTCACATTGAGCTGACTTAGTGTGGACGATGTAGGAGTAGAAAAAGAAAAGACATTTTTAAATTAGTTCACTCTAAATTCAGTTCATAATTAGACACAATACTAAATCTCCCATTAACCATTTAAGCCAACAAGTAGGAAAGAAACAGAAAGAACACGATGGAATCTTTAAGGAGTCAGTCGTCACTTTAAGCATGCTCTCAATTATTACACCAACCACACAAACATTCAGACTAAATGGTAACCGTATTTACAGCAGCTCATTCAGAGTGGATCACTTACAGTTTGTATCAAATCAAAGAAAATGATAAGCCAACATATTCAGTCACATCAAAGTAGAGCCAATCTGTGGCCACGCCAATCGTCAAATTTTATGTCGCGGCTCACTACAGTACATGTGGGTCTCCCCGCTTTTTCTTATTGTTTGGAATGGAAGTGAGCAGTAGTGCAGATGGGGAGATAATCAGAAGGAACATACAGGTACCAGAGTTCTTGGTTATTTTACCTGGATGCAGTTGGTAGCCTTGCGTATAGTGTATGGCTTGGAGATGCTGCTTTATGCACATACAAGTCAAGGAACCAGGAGGTTTTTCCAACAAGCACGCGCCTCGCTGCTCTGTGGCTCCACTTCCTCATAAAACAGGAGCTCTTATAGTTCTTCGTAATCGCCATCATCTCTTTTGACTGATCCTGCTCCTCCGCCTAGAAAGTCCTCCAGCTCGTCCACTTCTGTTTTCTTGGTCCGGGATTTCTTTTTCTTTTTCTCCTTCTCATCTCCTGCTGCAATTTCTTCCTTTTCCTTTTTCTTGTGTTTGTGTTTCTTCTTACTCTTTTCATCCTCCTGTGTGCAAGAAGATTCAATGCACCGGCATTACTAACCTTCAGACAAATAGTGTTCACTGTGTGTAATATGAACAGCAACGGTTTTACCTCTTTGCTCTTCTTCTTCTTTTTCTTCTTGTCTTTGGAGGAGTGCTTGCTTTCTTTCTCTAAAAGAGGAGCAGAAATGTACAGCAATCTTATGATGGTGCACCTTTCAGCCAATTGAATAGCCCTGCCTCTAAGCTAGTGAGCTGAACAACTGATGAATATTTAGCTAGGTAGCCCATGTAGTTGGCTAAGTCAGCAGCAAACTTTTTTATTCTAGGTTAATAACTGGTGCTTTAGGTGACAGAATAACATTTTTGTGGAATAAGGCTTGGAACTGCTGTTGCAGAAAACATTAGAGACCAGTGTTGCCAATCCATTTCTTGCTGACTCTTTCAAAACCCAGATACTCTTTTTTTTTTCCTCAACAAATTTGCTGATGGAATGAGTAAAACTCGATGCAGAGACTACACGGATACATGACCGGTTTGACAAGCTGGAAAACCACAAATACACAAAACATCCTGCCAAGTCTGATTGAGTGATGGTATAAACTTGTTCCATATCCTGTTTTACTGGATATCCTCTGGTATCAGTGAATCTGCAAATAGGGTATTACCCACTGCAGATATCTGAAAGGCACATCGACAGATATAACACGACTTGCCTTCTTGATCTTCGCTGCTGTCCTTGGCTGCAGCAGGCTCTTCATGGATTCCAAGGCCAAACAGGTCAGTATCATCCTTGAGCTTAAAGGAGATCACAGTGGGCTTCAACGGCTCTGGCACCTTGGCTAACTGCATGTCATCGTCAGAGAGGTCGGACAGAAGCTCATCCCTGACGGGAAACGCATCCTGCTTTGAACAAGGGAGCCAAATGTGAATGCTCACTCAAGAAAAGAAAGCATAAACAAAAACAAAAAAGACTTCAGATGTGGCAGAATACTATAACAGAAATGTATGTCATATCTCTTTATTAGTACGAGTCAATATGTCGGTACTGTGTCTGCTTTGTATTATGTGGATTTGACTGAATAACTAAATGGTGCCTGACTCAAAGTCAACTGCTTTACCTTTGCTATTTTTGGTGTGTCTGATGCTTCAGACTCAAAATCGGGGTCATCCATGACAAAAGACAGCATCTGCTGGGCTACAGGAGCCTCAGGGTCAGTGTCAGAGTCTTCAGCTTTGGGTGTGTTTCCCTTCTTCTTGCCTTGGAGTCTGGCTGGCTGCTCTGAAGCTGGAGTCAAAGTGAGGGAGATGGGTGCTGTGGTCTGGTCTCTGGTTTCTGGAGCTTTAGATGTCACCTTTGGTTTCGTGATGTGGATCACGGGTCTGTAACAGGATGATATGTAACAGTTTATACTTAAAATATAAATATTTTACTACTTAAAATATATAGATTTTTCTATATATACTGTATACATTTGTACTTGTCTTGTCATGTTGTTCAGTTGTAAACTTTAAGTGCAAATTCACAATTCTTATCTAGCTTGTCTTTTTCTGTAGAAGCAGTGAGGAGTTCTTATCTGATCATCACAGGAACCTTCGCAATCGTCAGTGGTTACTTGTACTTTACACCACAGCACTTTATGTGGCAGATCTAAATGATTCACAGTTCAGCACTTGTATTTTCAATCCATGAAGGTTGACAGTAATTTCTGATTTGCAATTTGCATAACATGGGCAAAATCAAATCACAAATAAAAGAAAGCAATAGAAGAGATACCGCAAAATGGAATTTACTATACAACTGAGACAAAAATAGGATGTAGCGAATTCTCTGCAAAAAGATTCAGTTTCATTTTTAGTGTGGTAGGCTGCAGTCCAGCACTTCTTGCTGTGGTTTCCCAAAGGTGACGGAAACTGTAATATGCAGAAAGTGGAGGAGGGAAAGAACGCCGACTAAGATTATTGGCCAATGACAGGCTTATTCCAGCAACCTATATCCAGTGAGTCAGCCATGAAATCAGTGACGCTGACAGAGGAGCAGGCTGGTGTTGTGGGTTTAAAGGTCAATTATATAAATGTAATGTAAAAGTTCTCAAGAATAGAATTTTCCATAGACAAAAATGAAACAGGTCTTCAGAGTCATGATCCTGCTCAACACCACTGATTAAAAGTCAACACACTGATGAGAACTATCACTAATATAAAACACTAATATAAAACATCTGAAATATTTGCACCAGTGTCTGGTACATTTTTAAGAACATGATTTTCAGATGTACTGACAACTGATGACAGATTTCTGATCTTGTTTTCATTTAGACCTGGAATGAGCTCGATCATCAGTAATGATGCTGGATATAGTGATGGATATCTGTAAGGAAAGTAGCTTTCAAGGGACAATTCATTATGACTCTAGTTTTGCAGCCTGAGACTGTGTTTGACATTTACTCTTAGATGTATTTACAGTGACAAATAATTTAATTTCTGCTCAAACTGTGTCCATTGTTTGTTGTATACATGCATATTTATAAGTCATTAATGTGTTTTTTATAGGTTCAAAAACACAATAGAAATTGTACAAATGAATGTTATTTATGTTTAACTGTTAAAAATGTTAAACTAAGCTGTTACTTATTTGGACTGAATGACTTCAGACTTCTGTCTTCAACAGATAGATAAAACAGCAATGCTACGTATCCTATATCTGATAAGGGATATATTACATAGGTATACAACCTGAAAAAAAAGAAAAGACTTACGTTTTCAGCTCCTGTTCACTGTCCAGGTCTTGGTCCTGTGTAACTGTGGGGGCTGCCGGTACTCCCTCCTCCTCATCACTGGTAAGAGTAATATCTTTACTGTGGGGCAGAGTCTTAGCCTGGGGGAGGCTGGGCTCAGTGTCATCAGGATCAAGCTCATCCTGGAAACCGGACACCATAGGGTTTCCTCTGCTTTCGCCATCACTGCAATACAGAAACAATGTCTTTTTACCTTAGCTTGTGAAGAAAGGGTTTACTACTGTGGACTAGACTAAAACCAGAACTTTCGTGCATCTAATGCACATAAGTGTGATATCTAATGTACATTTTCAAATGCACAGAAATGTGATAAGATTATGCATTATGTCAGATCAAAACCAGTTTAAATTTTAAGTAAAATATGTTTCATTCATATAAAGAATACAACAAATTAAGCTTTGTTTCTAATGTACATTTGAGCTTATATCAAAGTTCATTAAAAAAAAAACAAAAAAAAACACAACAACTGTTGGAAATCAACAAATGTGTTGTCCAAAAGTATTACCAAGCTAACTCAGAGGCATGAAGAAACACCTCACCTGTCGCTGTCCATAGCTGTAGCGGGTGCAGGTTGGGGCACTTTGCTCTTCGAGGGAAGGCTGTCCTCTAGAAAACTCCTGTCCAGTCTTTCATCTGGCACAAAATCATCCACACTCTGCACCTTAGCTGGACACATTTGTGCCGGAGGGTCCTCTGCAGAAAACATGGAGACAAATTTATGAGTGACAATCAGTTTATTTAATTTAAATCAAATTTTACTGCCAAAAAGGTCCGATCGCAGCACTGCCATGTGCTTGCCTTGTTAATAACAGAAAAACTCCAATAAAACCTGTGAAATCACATGACATTCCAACACCAGCCATTCCTTTGAGCCACTGGAAAGCTCTGCATTTCTCAACCTCTAAGTCTTGAATCTTGTGACTACTTACTATGCTGTGCTTCATGGACTCGAAGCTCACCATATGATCAGGCTTATTTATGAAATGCTCAGTCTCCTTGCTAGTTTCCTGATATAATCAGGATTTATAGGCTACCATTTTTTTTCCAGTTTTGCTATGGCTGGCTTTGTGTGTGTTTTTATAATATTATAAATAATAATATATTAGTATTATATATATATAAATAAAACATTTTAAAAGCTCATTAACAATAACTTTGTACTTCTCAGTAATGTAGTACAGTGTTAACAATGTCCGCTCTCATTCCAGCAACTCAATTCATTTTCTAATTACTTCAAAAAAACTGACATTTAGATAGATAGAAATGTGCAACGACGAGTCTCATAATAGCTTGAATTAATGCATACTCGTCAACAACAAAAGTGTTTGGTTGGGGGCAGCTCCTGATTAAACAATTATGCACTCCACATGATGTGTGTCTAGGTGAAATGTTAAAATTGCCCAACATCAACCATTAATTCATTGCAACATCAACGTGGACAGACAGCTCGCAATGTCTTTGTGCTGTTTGATCGCATGTTTAAAGTAGTGGCCATGCAACAATAAGGTTGTGGCCACCACTTAATTATCCTAGTCCTTACTAGCTTGTGGCCGCACAGTTATGGTTTTCCCTCCATTGCCACCGGGGGGATCCAAATGTATATAATATATAAAGCGTTGAATATTCAGAATGTCATTCATGCAGCTGACATCAGTGAAAGCGGAAAAGAAAGAGAGGGAAACTGATGCTCTGGTAATTACTGTAGTTGTACAAGTTTTATTTATTTATTTTTTAAATCTCCTTTATAAAACACAGCAAGAGGAAATAACATTTTTAGGGACAGATATGAAGTCATGGCTAATTCACAGGGTTTTGTAATTTATTAATTAATTTTGCCATCATTAAATATTGACAAGAGGGAGGGATGGAAGATTAAGGGGCAGAACACAATAAACCTAATCCGGTTTACAAGATGTTCACATGATATCTCTATTTAACTTTGCATTGAGGCAGCCTTTACAGTTATCTGATGCCATTTATTGAGTTATAGAAGTAACTTGTGCATTTCGACATAAGGCTCACATGTCAAACTGCTGAGGGGCATGATAGGGAGCTTTAGCTTTATTTAAATAAGGATATCAGCTACTGGTTAAAAGATCTCTGTGTTGCCTTTAAAGGTTGGTGAAAATTCTTATGATTTCCAACAGCTAATAATCCTGGCGGTGTTATGTTTATCGGTAATAGAATACCCCTTGACAACTGGTTTAACTAATTTTGCTACAGATAAGAGCTGAATTAGCTGAATTATATAAATATTTGGATGAACAAAAGGGTGATAAACAAAGTCCAACCACTTTGTTCATCAGGCCTTTGTCATAATGAAATATTTCATCGGTATTTTGCTTGAAGCTGACCTCAGTGAACTTAAAATTCACCTCTATCTATAAAACCATATTATCTACTGTCAGTTAGTCTCGCCTGCAGGTCACTTATCAACTGCTATCTAGAATATGCAAGACTGGAAAATGACGTACACAACCAGTTATTGCTAAACTGACTGTTGACTAACAGATACATTGCACCGATGTATTTTTTTTTCCAAGAGCAAAAAGAAGAGCACCTTGCTAACTTTTTAATCACAACAACTGCACAGATCTTTGGTCTGCACAGGTCTCTGGTCAAGCATACAGACACAGGTTTGTGATGCTTGTGAGGCTGCTTGCTGGCAATGTCTGGCTCAAATCCTGCACACAGTCTTGTGTTTACCTTACAGGTGACTTTCTTATGCTCACTTGTCCTAAATACAAACTCAAGTGTCAGACTGCAATGGCAACCCCTTGATGGACAAGAGCTTAATTAAGGAGACATTAAAATCTGTGAATAAGCTCACACAACAGCAGAGATGATGTTGCCCTCTGCTGTTTAAATAATGTGTAGAAGGGACTCACCTGTTGCAGAAGCAGTAGCTTCAGTAGCAGGAGATGAGCCAAACCAGCGGGAGATGAAGCTGCGTTTCTGGGGTCCTGACGCTCCAGATGCAGCTGATGACTGGAGGTGTTCGGGTGACTGGGCTGGTGGCTTTATCTCAGCAGTAGGCGAAGCTGCCCCGCCAACTGCTGCTGTGGGAGGTGGTGGGGAGGAGGCGGACACTGATGGTGACTGTGGAAGTGCCTGGGAGGGCATGGGGGGCTGTGGGGTGCTGGGGCTGGAGCTGCCCGTGGAGGCTCCACTGGGAGGGACGATGGGGGACTGGGAGCCTGAGGAGGGACTTTGACCATTGGCTGGACCAGGAGAGCCATAGCCCTTACTGCGAGACTCCAAGTTCTCCAGGAAACTGGAGAAACACAAAAGGACTGTTAATAACTTGTGGTTCACCTGCAATAATATCTGAGGCTAGCAACACAGTGCAGTACAGTAGAGCACCAGTGCTGCTCTTGATTCAGTAAATGTCAAAATATATATTTTAATTGTCAGGAAGATGTTCTGATGTAGTCCTGTGCTGTATGTGGACTTAAAAACCTGACTGCAATATAAAGAAATCAGCAATAAATAAACTGCGTGGAAGCTGTATTTATTGGTTAAACTATCTTGCAACAAATGGGGATGTTGTACTTCTTAAAATGTTGACATTACCTTTAAACCCTACCACCATCACATGTCTGGAATATACTGGAAAAAAAAACAACTGAGAGACAAGAAGAGTATTTTATACTCACAAATTCTTGCAAAAAAAGAAAAACTTCGTCGAAGGAAATGGATCCAAACATTTCATAAATCTGTGTAAAATTCAACAGCTGGATGGTAGAAGTAGAGCTACAGAGTGGTGTGTCCTCAGCATCAGCAGTGCTGAACTCCATCATGGACATGACTGCAACAACTGCTGCACATGAAAACGTACCAGCAGCACACACTATTCTATGTGGTGTGCAGCAGAAACGTGTAAGAGAAATCTTTCATGGGTGTCTCTTTAGAGGCCCTGTACCACAGCATGCACACAGAGAGAAGAAATAAAAGCAGAAAGTACATTTCATAGTTCTGATCTTCAGTCTCCTGCTGGACAGACAGCTCCTCCAGGGTGGCATCCATGTCCAGCTGGTTGGTCTCCAGCTGCCTCAGGAGAGTCTCTCTCTGTGCAAACACAGATACACAGCTGACAGAAAAAAAACTGGGCACAAGCAGAAATAATACAGGCACTCATTGTGTGATTTAAATAAATACACACTGATAATTGAATAGCGATTATGTACGTAAAACAGCATAGTGGGGAAAACTTAAAACAGAAATTTAAAAAAATATATAATAATGATACAAATGACAATAAAAAGTAACCTGTAGCTGAAGGAAGGGGATGTTGAAAAACCTGTGCAGATATTTCAAGCCAAACCCATTCTTCATAGAGGACTCAGCATAGTGGATGTAAGATGATCCCATTGGTCTGTAAAAGACAAGTGTTAGTAGTTAACTCAAGCTCCAAGTACATACTGAATAAAAGTTACCGCATGTCAATATGTACCGCATATATTCTGTGTCCACCAGCTTGTCGTTAGTTCTGTCTGTCTGCTGGTTGGTGCGAGATAGGTAGTGTAGAGTGGGGGTTTTTTGTTAAAAACCTGCTGTCTGTTTGTGCGGACACTTAGGTTGATTAGAGCTGAGCTTGTGGGCAGTAAATCATTAAAATATTAACACCTACGTTTTACACAGAGCCTACCAGGTTAAATACGAGGCGCAGGACTCTATATTGCACTGAAAAACTGATCCCACACTGACTAAAAATGTGATAGGAATTAAAAAAAAAAAAAAAAAACACACACCCAGAAACTGGTAGGATTTAGAGGGACAAGACTCCTGGAGTGGTCATTTTTCAAGGAGCAAGGACTTCAGGCCTTATATCAGTTTGAGGTACATTTTTTATTTATTCATTTTTTTTTACAAAAAATGTAGATCAGAAAGACCCAACATGAAGAGGACAAATCCAGTAATTTCACTGAAGTAATTTATAGAAGTAAGTTATTGAGCACCTCAACAAAGATCACAAGGAGTGTGACCGTCCTCAATCTCTTTTTTTGTGCTAGTTTTGAATAAAAGTGTTTCCTCTTCTTCACCATCACTTAACTTGCTCACAGTGAGTCTCACTTATTTTGTTCCTTTTTCTGTTCACTTCCTCCTTATTTATGCTACTTTTTCATTTCTCACACTTACCAGATATTTATTTCTGCACATAACATATGGTGCAATACAGTTTTGTCATTAGCTGATGCAGCCTAGAGGAAAAATTAGGAGGATGTGGTGGAATTGTCATGTATGACTGAAAGGTAGCTATGCAACTTTAATGTTTATTGACATGACCATTTTAAAATTCAAAGTCCAAAGTGGTTCTTTAGCTGATATCTACCTGTTCAGCCCAGCAATCAGGTCTCTGATATCATCAGGAAGGATGACGCGATGCTCGCCCATGTCCCTGTGGTTTCCCAACACACACACTGGTACGTGGGTGGGTACTTTGGGCAGTTCCCTCAGGATGTAGTTAAATGTCCTGCAATTGACAGAATCAAAATGTAAAAACACTTTTGAGTACATGTTTAAAAATGTGAAAAAATCTACAAGGGTGGATGATGACGTGCATCTACTCTCATATGCTGCTTCTATTTACATCGAAACACTACGATTCACTTGGCAGTCACTGCACTCTGTGACTTGACTGAAACTAACATTGTAGAGTGTGACAGTTTATTAGAGCCACTCTTTAGGCTGTTTTCCAATAATTTAACCTTCCTCTACTGTCAGTGGCACTCATTGTTGCTACGATACAATCAATCTTCACTTTAAAAGGCACAGAAAACTAAAGGAGACGGAGAGTTTCCAGTTCGAGGCCCAGAGATCAACTATCTGCCTAAAGAAAAAAAAAAAGCTGGCTGAGTCAGTGACCTCTTTTAAGTCTCTTCTTAAAACACACTTTTATTGGAGAGCCTTTCCTGATTTTACTTAAGTTTTATTTCTTTGAACTTTATCAGTTCTTTTGAAAATTATATTAATCTGTATTGTTTCTATGCACTGAATTGTGTTTGTCTGTCCTGTTTTAAATCCTGATGATTTTATGACTTGACTGTATTATTTTGCTGTCATTGTGACATGCTTTGGAACTTTGACTTTGAAAAGCAGTCTGTAACTTCAGATTATTATTGACATTATTATTATTATGAAAGATAAAACTTGAAAACTGGAAAGAACTTAGTACAAAAGTGGAACACTGCAGTTTTTGGCAAATCCTGCTCAAACAGGAGAAAATGGTGCATTAATAGGGACTACTGGCAGAATAATTAGGGTCTGAGCACTCAAAGAGGGTGCGAAGACCCTATTGGAACTGCTAGGGTTTATTATTATTCGTCACAAAGAAATGCGTTTTTGAGGTACTCAACGTACTCACACACGCACCAAACTCACCACAGAAATCAGACCCGGCAAAAAATTTTTAGAATTAGGGGGAAATATGCACCTCAATAGCAAAATGGCTCAACAGCGCCCCCTACAAAATTACAAAAAAAAGGCCCCTGAACACACTTTCACGTACAGCCACGAAATTTGGCACACACGTACACAACTCGAGATGCACAAAAAAACCTCAAGAACACATACCGGAAACTCAACAGGAGGTCGGCCATTTTGAAAAAAATGGCAGCTTACCGTTGAAAATCGGCCATTTATGGCCGATTTCAAAATTTAGCTCCTCCTAGGGGGTAAGTCGTACACATTTCAAATTTGGCCAGCACAAACTACACAATGTGGTGATTAAAAGATATCAAAATGCTCCGCAAAAGTCTGAGTTTAGAAATGGCGGCCCGTGCAATATTGATCAATGGCCATTTTGGCCATTTTTTTTTGGTTTTTCCGGGATTCAACGAGTCCCGTCAGAAGGCCGTTTCATCTACACCTACAAGATTCGGTGGGGATGTGTAGCAGTTTGGGAGGCACAAAAAATTATCCGCACCAAGCCCTAAACCCAACAGGAAGTCCGCCATTTTGAAAAAAACGGTCAGAATGTTACGATTTTCGCTCATTTTTGGCCATTTTCAAAATCTATCTCCTCCTAGGGGGTAAGTCGTACACACCTGAAATTTGGCCAGCACAAAATACACGATGTGGTGATTAAAAGTTATTAAAACGCTCCGCAAAAGTCTGACGGCGTCAAAATGGTGGCCCATACAATTTTGCCAAAACGCCATACAATGGGACGTGCTGTGTAACTGGGCTGTATGTGCTCCGATCGGCCTGAAACTTCACACAGGTGCTCCGAGTCACAGCCGCAGTGTGTTAAATACATATGTAAACCGACTGTCTCAGTCGCACTCCCGCGAGAAGCGAGGACCTGACCAATGCCACTTGCGGCTTTAATATTGTTCATATCGTGCTATTGCAAGCAAGAGTGACACCGCTAATATTAATTCAAAGGAAGGTCACACTACCTATCTGCTTGTTGACACTCACATAATGCCATTTCTGGGTCCAAATGCTCCTTCAGATCCCAAAGGCAAACAGACAGTGAGACACCACCGAAAAGGGGCCTTTATTCTTTCAGCTCCTATAGCGTGACATGTAACTATTCTCCCAGGTGGTATAACCAAGAGTAGAGTCCAGGCCTTAATGAAAAAGACAATTTATGAGGTTGAGGTGAGTTGGAAATTAGCAGTGAGCTAGCTGGCTAGCTGGCATGTAAAGATGATAGGTCCTGTTCTGGCTGAAGTATTTCTTTAAAAAATAAAAAATAAAATGTACAGGACTTTCATAACTTTGGAAATGAACTAAGGTGAAAAACTAAATATGTAGATCCAAGTTTGTGTTGTGCTAGTGAAGTCAGGCTAGTTAACATAATGACCTGCCACGCAAAATATAGCTAGGCTTATATAAATACAACACTGGCATTGCCTTTTAGAAGTATTAGGGTGAGGGTGGAATAGTTGTCCATGAAGGTTCATCGTGATTGTCAAATCTGCTCAAACAACCAGAGACAGAGCGCTGCAGCAAGTGGAAAAGGCGAGAGCCTCAGCCGACGTGGCAGAGGCCGGGACCCAGAAGCAGTATTATCAGAAGGTCTTAACAAGCAGATAGGTGCATCATGTTTCATGTGATTAAGATGCTTTCCATAAGCACCAGCTGTCAGCATCACAGCCAGCTACACATTTAAGTCCAGGTAGTCACTTTATCATAATGTTTTTATACTAAGTAAATGTTCAGATTAAAAAGGTGCACTTTGATGACTAGCCTCAACTTTAAAACAATGCGAGCACAATAATAGAGAAATGTGCTCATCTGTCTGTATCAGTCCTATCCCCATATGCTCATTACAGCTAAGAGGTTGTGTCCTGCTGAGTCATTTTCAGAGTTTGATAAATACAACAACACATTAGGAGTTGAATTGATTGCACAGAAAAGAGTACATCCTCATTAAATGGGCTTCTCCAGAAAACACCAGTGGCAGCAACTAGACGATTGGGCAGTAAACATTAAAAGTCTAGTGAGAGAGCTGCAGTTACCAGAGAGGCGATGATGGGCTTAATGAATGAATAAATGAATGAACAAATGAATAAATTATCTTTGTTTTCACTTCACTTTTAACAGCAGAAGAAGAGTAGAAGTTGAATTGATTCAACAGATTCACATTTGAATCAAGATGTGATTTGAATCAAGTTCAGTGTTTTGGCATCAGTTAATTTTACAAATAATTTGATGATGTTTATTTTCAATAAATAAGTGCATTATTGTTTTGAGCCAAACAACACACTAACCATCATTGTGACATGACTTGACTAAACAACAACAATTTCCCTGAGGTACCCTACCAAAGGGATCAATAAAGTTCTATCTGATCTATCTTGACAGAAGAGGTGTTAATTAATACATTTTTCAAAAAAGGTCAAACAATTCTGATCAAACAGAAGCAGGTGTGGCTACTTACAGACTGCGTGAGCTTTAACACACATGAATCCTAGATCTCCTTGACATTATTTCACTATATATTTATAAACCGGTAGCCAAACTCATTAAAATAAAGGGGGGATGCTCCATGTCCCTGCAGAAAGCCCTGTAATATTAAAATAAATGTCACTATATTTTCCCTCAGGGTGTCCAAAATGACATGACTAGAATGTATTTGAAGAATTTTGTCTTTGAAGCCGAACAAAATCCACCAATGGAAGCTTTTAGCTTTACAGCCACACGCAGACAGACTGAAATCTAATCTGCCCATGCATATTGTAGCATTAGACTTCACTGATGAGCCAGTGCGAGGACAACAACACAGACAGACGACTCTTACCACTGCTTAGTAATGTCAAACATCATGATGACTCCATTGCAGTTCTTGTACACATCCAAGAATTCTGCATCCAGGGCAACCTCATCTGACTACAACACACAAACATTCTTATTAAGCCACAGACAAAAGTACGACAATACTTTGCAGAACTTAAACATTTCATTATTCATTCCTATACAACCTCTTTGGCCAGTTTAATCACTGACCCACATACTCGAGCAAAGCTTTTTTTTTTTTTTTTCCTGAACACATGACAGTCATGTGATAATTACCTCTTGGGGCTCATTTTCCAGTTTCAAATTGTCTCCACGTCTTTTGCCTTTGCCTGAAAGAGTAAAAAAAAAATCACAAGTTTAGGGGAGCTGAAAAGTGAAGTAACATCACAGTCTACAGCTTAGTTTATTGCTTTACGTTAGTTTATGATGAGTAAAGCAAGCAGAGCAGCACAACTGCTTTTCTTATGGAAAAGCATCTTGCAGCCTACTTTAACAAACACTGCCCTTTAAGTACACACTGCTGGCATTAAGTCACAGCTCACACAGTGCAGATGATCAGGCAGAAAAACAGCCAAACTTTGAGATGTAGCCACACAGCAACCCTGAGAATATTGACATTCATATAGGAGTGGAAGGAGGCGGGGCAAATCCACAGCAAACAGGCGAGTTAAGTTTCTACACACTATAGTAGCGCTCACCTACACCTTCAGGAAGAGGATATTTTTGGCCTGAGATGAGTGTAAGAGAGGTGCAAAAAAGACAACATCAACACTGAGGACAGAAAAACAAACAAGGAACCGAACAAGCGCCTATTTGATATCTTAAGATACTGCAGTAGGAAGACAGGAAAAATGTCTCATAGCAATGTCAGCCTCAGTAGAAAGTTTTTGACTGGCATGTGTGCAAATACTCACCTTTGTCCACCACATCCCACACCTCTACCTTCACCACATCATCAGTAGCTAAGACAAACACAGAGGGTGGATTCATTATTCATGCTTTTGGGACACAGAGGAGAGGAATTCAAATGTACAGGCTGTTAAATGACTAATATGGATCTAGTAACTAAAACACCATGTGATATTTAGGGCTGCACGATATATCATTTCCGGACTGACATCATGATGCGGGCGTGCCCAATAGTCACATTTCAGGTGGTGTAATGTGAAGTAAGGCTAATTAACTTATACACATAATGTTCTAACTTTTTTTTGCTACTTAAAACAAAACACAAACTTCCATGGTTCTCATTTTCCATGACTAATCTAAAGGAGAAGCCTGTCTGATAGAACATCATTTACTCTGATTTAAAAGTTCCTGGATACAATGAATTTAAAAAAATAAAACAATTTTAATTATACAATATTGAGTTAAATGCAGGCTTTGCATGTCCACAACAAAATGAGCAAGGAGCAGGAGAGAAACGGCTGCATTAAGAAACGCAACATCAGTTGAAAAACATATCGGTGACAGAAAGGCTGATATCGATCAAAAACAGGTACTGTGTCTGCAGTGTCTTGCGATTGTTCTGATTACATGAATAATTTCTTTGACCATTAATTCAGCAACATCTGTATGACTATTGCAAACACAGATCTGAATAGTATACAGAGCAAAAAACTATTTCAGAAGCCTTTGCAAGTGTTACAGCATACAGGAAAGGTTCCAAACAGCTGAGACAAATCATAGACGTGATAGCTTTCACCTCACCAAAGACATGATATTAATCAACACAGTTACAACAGAGGGTTTTCAAAAAATGATTTGGTCACTTGACAAATGGTATGTAATACCATCACACACTCAAGTCATTACAGAGATGTGGAATATTATGCAGCTACAACAGACTTGTGGTCTGGCTGGACAACAAAGTCCTACATAAGTCTTACTGCTACTTTATTAATAAGGACTAACAACTGCAAAGCAACTGTTTCCAAACGAAGTACTGGCAACTTGGGGCCTCGATGAGAGACATCAAGTCTGTATAACAACACATAATGTGTGCTGTCCTGAACATGTGGATCAGACAACAGTGCTTTGATCACAGACTGCATCATGCATTTAGTAGGTTATACACATGCTTACCTAACATGACACACTTACTAACCTGTTTTTTAACATCACAATATATATATATATATATAAAGTAGAAAAACAAAATATAGCAATGTCAGTTTTTTCCAATATCGTGCAGCCTTAGGAGGAGAGGTAGAAAAAGCTTTGCTAAGTATGAAGCTACTCACACAAATACTGGACACCTACTCTAAAAATCAGTTAGCTGCAGCTAAATCTAACAGTTTTTTTTTTTCTTTTACCTTGATATGGAGCCACTGAAATAAATCATGAGGCACAAACAGCAGATGTCAAATATTCACCAAAACAGAAACAGGAGATGAAATGAGTTGTAATGGTCAGAGGTGACATGGCTTACTTTTGTAATTCCAATGGATGCTTGTGGCCTGGATCTCCTGAGTGGGTATGTACTCCTCCACAAACTTCTTGCCCTGCAGTCGATGCCATAAAGTACTCTTTCCAGTGTTCCTGTCGCCTCGGATGACTATTTTCACTTGAGTGAGCAAGAAATTCAGGTCATCAAAAAACAGAAGCAGCAACATTTGACATGTTCAAATGAGACAGGCATATGTGACTGCAGACGACGGCTCACTTGATTGGCTAGATTACTTACTGTTATACTGGACCCCTTTGGCAAAGCGTCTCTGCAAACTTTGGTTCATCGACTGCAGGCCAGCGGGAATGTTCTTGTCCCTGAGCTGTCCTGGCTCAGATCCCACCAGTTTCTTCAGCGCTGAAAACATGGTGATGAGGCTTCAAGAGCTCTTACAGGGACACGTGGTAACAGAGTGAAAATCCGCCCGATGATTCCTAACACGATAACTTAAGGAAAAGTGTAACAGTGTAGTCTGATGGTTGAGAAAGTTAAGGGTCCATGCTTAGGAGAAAATATGATGACAAATGACTTGATATTGACTCTTAATTTAGCTCCCCTTAAATCTGACTAGATGTTCTTCCTTGCCTGTCAGAGGTGGAGGTAACTACCATGTTGTTTTGAGCAGCATCTGTAAACAAAAACATAAAATAAATGAATAAATAAATCAGAGAGCAGTTGGGTTTTAAAAGTAATGTCATTTTTAGGTGTAGGTTCAGTAAAAAATAACAGGCATAACAGGTTTTTCACATACATAATCTCATACATCTCATGCTGTCGTTACAAGATGCACTGGAAGAGTGCAACCCAGTCTTTAAAGGAAATAACCTCAAACATCAAATAACTTCACTTAATAAATATCAAGAAGCACAGACAACTGTTACCAAGTCCATTAGGACAGAGGGGAATACCTGATGATAATTTAAAACAAATTATTTGCAGAAGTATCAAAGACTCTTTAAACCCTCAGGGTGAAACGATATACCATCTGCAGCACACCATTTTTATCCTGTTTCCTAAACCTTCTGTTTTTCTGACCCAAAAGTGATAGTAGCCAGAAAAGACACATTTTTACGACACTATATTGGTTGTCATTACAGCTTAATATAATTAAAGTGGCAAATGATTAGTTGATTATTTGACAGATATCAATCAGCAACAAATCTAGTGATTAAATAATCCATGAAGTATTTATTTTTTTATTTTTGCATAGATTCACTCAGAGTTTCCATCTTCTTTGATATTTCGGTGAATGTCTTTGGAATTTGGATCCCTGGGTTGACTGATTGATTTGAGACTGGATATGGTCTCCTTTGGCACTGAGAACATTTATGGACATGATATTTTTTGATCACAGAAACCATAATCTGCATCTTAATTGATAATGAAAACAAGTCCTGCACTGCATTTAAAGTTGTAACACAAAACAGTGCGTTTCAATGTTTTATGTGTTCAAAGTATTGTAGGCGATGTGTTGCATCTCTATATGCTACAAGAAATTAGTTGAAATTAGTTATATGATACTGTGTTTGGGACAGAAACACTGAAAAGGGAAAAAGGAAACAAAAATACTACCCATATTCTTACAGGGAACTGTGCCAACAGGTGAATTATGTAGCAGTCTAGTCATTTAGTGCAGTTTATGGCATTTCACTTAAAAACAGAGTTATTATATAAAGTATGTAACAGAAATGAGTTCACAGCTATGCAGTATCACTTAAGGTAAACAGAAATGTGTCAACTGATTTCCACTGACAACCCATGTGTAAAGTCTGCAGCACTTGTGTATCTGTTTTTGAATCAGAAGTGCATTGCCCATGGTTGGACTATGGCTCTTTCGGTTCCTCCTGATCACTGCTACAACTGCGTTTTAACTGACTTTTAGTCAGTCACTGATCTTCCTTTTTTTTTTTTTTTTAATTTTCTCAGGAAAATGTGCAGCCATGATGCTGGCATGTATATAGACACAGCCCATAGGTCTAAAAGTGATCAAGTTCTGGTTTATGCGGGTCATTATTTAACCATGTTAGTGCAGTTAGGCTGACTGAAAATCCCAGTTGTACTCAATTTTGTCTCAGTGATCACAAGTTCTCTATCATGTCAGTAATCACAAGTATATTCACTTTTTTGCATTGAACTTCTACTTTGGGGCCTGTGTTTTTAATGTAATCTTTGTAAAGTACCGGTATTTGTATTTGCTTGATGATAAGAGGAAGAACACTACTTAGCAACTTGGAAATATTGCAGTTATTGAGAGCTTATACCCGTTTGAATCTTTTGACATTTAAGATATAGTGCACAACAGTGCACTCACTTCTGTTGTATACTTAAAATGATTCCTAATTTGAGAACACCATTTGTTTTTAAACCAACACTGTCATGTAAACCTGTGAAATGTTGGCAAGTTATTAACACATGGAGACATATAGATAATGTTGTTTTCATATAGATGGGTACAGCATTCTCTAATTTTTTATTTTTTTTTAATGTCAGATGCTTAGCTCTGACTCATATGTAATAGGAACACATGAGGGGCGCAAGCATCTAATGATGATGTGATCAGGTGACTCTTTATGCAGCAGGTACTGACAAAGAATAAATAACTGGCTCATAGATTTATAAGTCAAATAATAGAGGCAGATAAGTGATACATAAAAGAAAAGTTTCCAGTTGTGTACCAGCGCATGACCACGACCACGTCCCTGTAAAACCCTAATGGAGCTGTCAGTGTCCCGGAGGCATTACATTATTCACAATCAGGATCAGCTTCGGGGTTTGTTTCCAGTTGACATTATCACTGCAGTGTGCGTGTCTGTTAATCTTAAGCAGAGAATACCTCAAATTCAAAACCGATTTGATCAGTACTGCATTAATAACACAGTAAATGAATGGTTTTGGGGTGAATTCCCTCTTTACCATCAGCCAGCTAGCATTAGCTTTCCATGCTGTTCGCTCGGTTTACAGAGGGTTTTATCGAATATTTGAGTTAAAGCCATTAAAAATACGAAAGCCAAATAATATAAAGGGTGTGTGAAGGTCGACAGGCTTCAAATGGTGATGAGGCAGCCTGGTTTGTTACCTAACGTCACCCTAGCTAAAAGGTAACGCTATCCTCTGGCTCTGCTTTAGCTAGCTATCCAGACGATATTAGCTTAGCGTCCCTCCTCTGCTCTTAGAGACGTTACACGCCGCTCGTCTGGATGACTTCTTCATGGTGCCGTCCGCTGAAAATACTCACGGTTATTTAGTGAGATAAGAAGCAGCAGTCCTGACATCTTCTCCTCAAAACATCTGTCAGACCTCCATCTCCACACAGATATAGCAGCGACATTCCTTTGCAAAGAAAGCAGCTGCGCCGACCTGCCGTAAAGCCGAACACAACGCCGTACACCGTCCGGTAAACGTGTTCACAATAAAGCTGATATTTCGCAAATTAAATAGTGCGGTACGGACGTGCAAATATTTTCGAGATTTCTTTCAAGTTTTTTT